CATCGATGAGAGAGAAACATCAGCTGCCTCCTGCACACCCCCCAGTGGGGACGTGCCTGCAACCACGGTACATGCCCTTGACCGGAATCGAACCCGGGACCCTTGAGTCCGCAGGCTGACCTCTATCCACTGAGCCAAACCGGTTCGGCTTGTTTTGTTTTTTTAAACATTACTTAGGTATAGTTTACATGCAGCAAAATGAACCTACTTAGGTGTGTATTTAGATAAAACTTAATAAATCATTATACCCGTGTAATCACCACAATAGCCAAGGTATAGAAAATTCTTACCCCCTCAAAAAAAAAATCTTTTTGAGCCCCTTTGCCATCAGTCTCCACCTTATCCTGGTCCCAAGCACCCACCAATCTGCCTTCTGACACTATGGGTTAAATTTGTCTTTTCTTGGGTTTCATTTAAATAAAATCAAATAATCATATAACCATATAATTTTTCCTCTTTGTGTCTGGCTTCTTTCATTCAGAAGAATGGCTTTGAGATGCCTTCATAGTGCGACTTGCGTCAGCAATTTCTTCTCATTGCTGAACAGTGTTCCGTTGCACACCACAGACTCCTGTCCCTCCTCTGGTTGTCCTTATGTGAGAGTGAGGCGCTGCAGGCGGTTTAGCCCCAAACCCTCTGTTTCTGCCTACTTGGCTGCCCAGCTAAAGAATACATTCTCCAGCCTCTTCTGTGATTAGATGAGGTCATGTAACCAAGTTTTAACCAATAAAATCGAGTGGAATTTATGTGCTGCTTCTGCCTTGTTTGCTTAAAACAAAATCGCTGCCCTGGATTTCTTCCGTTTTCCCTTCCTGCAAGCTGGAACCCAGATGGCCCCTGGGTAGATGAAGACAATCTTTTAAGGGATGGCAAGCCAATGAAACGGAAGGAAAGTGGTCTACAAATGACCCGTGGAACACAGAGAAGTTCATTTCTATCTTCTTTTCTGTCTGTATTTTGGGATCTTGGTACCGCAGCTTAACTTTGCTCTAATTAGTATCCCAAGCAATACAAGCACTGAGAAGCTGGTCGGGAGCTCTGTGTTCGCGAGTGCATGAGTTCTTGTCCTGTGGTGGCTTTGACTCTAAGGTAATGGCTCTCCACACGTGGTCCAGGTAACCCTGAGGGTCCTTGAGACCCTTCCAGGGGGTACTTAAAGTCAACATTATTATTATTTTTTTTATTGTTTAAAGCATTACAGACAGTAGTACATATGTCTCCTTCCCCGCCCCCCCCCCCCCCATTGAAAGTCAACATTATTTTGATGGGCCTGGCTAGTGTGGCTCAGTGGTTGAGCATTGACCTATGAACCAGGAGGTCACAGTTTGATTCCCGGTTAGGGCACATGCTCGGATTATGGGCTCGATCCCCAGTGTGGGGCATGCAGGAGGCAGCCAATCAATGATTCGCTGCTGTTTCTCTCTCCCTCTCCCTCCCCTTTCATCTATGAAATCCATAAAAATATATTTTAAGAAATTATTTTGATGGTACTACTAAACCGTTACTTTCGTTTTTCACTCTCATTCTCTCCTGAGTGCGCAGTAGGGTTCTCCACAGGCTGCATGCCCCGTGACAGGATAATGACGAACCCGAGATTTGCAAAGGCATGAAACGAGGCCACTCTTCTCACTAAATATTTATGTTGAGGAAGCCGTAGTTCTTTTTCATAAAACTATATCAACACATAATGAGTTTCTTATTGTTATTTTTAAATAAGTAAATATTTTAAATATTTTAAATTTCTCACTTTAACTGTATATATATATATATATATATATATTCCATGTTTTAAAAGCTCTTTGGGGGTACTTAATAGCTTTTAATAATATAAAGGAGTCCTAAGATCAAAAAATGTAGTAACCATTGCACTAGGGGTGACCTCAGGAGAGACTTCCGAACCTGTGTTCCTGTGCCAAAGCCCTGCCCGGCTGGCAGGCACGGAGGGCCTTCTCCTCCCTCCTGGGCTCCCGAGCTGCCCCGGACCTCTCTCTCCGGCCTATTCTCCTGGGAGAACACTCTCCTCGTCCGGGAAAGAAAAGCAGCCTCCAGGGAAATCTGGTCTCTGCCTGCCTCCTGCTTTTCAAACGGCCTCCGGGACTGGTGGCCGGACCTAACACAACGGAGAGGTCTCTGGGTGCTCCTGCACAAATCCCACCCCTCGCGGGAGTGGCGCTGCCTTAAGCCTCCCCGTAAAAACCAAGCCCTCTCCCAATTTATCAGCTTGGGCATCTGCTCTTTCTTCACGTGCGGCCGGCTGTGGAAGAGAAGCACCCAGTGGTCAGCCTGGCCCCAAAGACGAGATCTCAGTCTCCTTTACTGGCTCTGCCTTGATGAGCTGTGTGTGTGTGTGTGTGCGTGTGTGTGCGTGTGTGTGCTTGTGTGGGTGTGTGTGGGGTTTTTTTTTTAATAAAATATTGACTTGACAAAAAAAAGAAAAGAAAAGAAAGAAATGCATGTGCTGTTCCCTCTTGAATGCTCTCCTCCCACCCCACCCAAACTTTTCCATGTCTCACTTCTTTTTTTCTTTTTTTTAAATATATTTTATTGATTTTTTACAGAGAAGAAGGGAGAGAGATAGAGAGTTAGGAACATCGATGAGAGAGAAACATTGATCAGCTGCCTCCTGCACATCTCCCATTGGGGATGTGCCCGCAACCCAGGTACATGCCCTTGACCGGAATCGAACCTGGGACCCCTCAGTCCACAGGCCGACACTCTATCCACTGAGCCAAACTGGTTTCGGCTCCATGTCTCACTTCTTTAGATCTTACCTTAAACATCATCTCCTCAAAGAGGCCTCATTGACCAGCTGGTCCCAAATAGAGCCCTGGTGGCAGACGTCGTTGGTTGCAATTCCAACATCCCTTCTTTCCATCCTGTCCCTTGCTAACAAAACACCATTTTAATTTGTTATGGTTTGGGCAGTCATGTGGTTTAGGGGAAGCCAAGCCCTCCCCAATCCCAAAGGTTGACTCTTGATTTGTTAAGTCCCAACAAGGCAATGTCATTCTTTTGGCAATGGTCAGAAGTGGGCAGGTGATAAAACCCTGCTCAACAGCACATAAGGGGATGTCTGGTGGGTGTTTCTGGGAAACTGTACATATAGCTCTTATAAGGGGACCCAAAATGTAACGTGCCCTTTTCCTGCCTTCTGGCCTTTGGTTAATGTGGTGTGAGAACATGAAGCCTGGACCTTCTGCAGTCATCCTGTGACCTTTAGGGGACAATTATGAGGACAAAAGTCAATACCTGAAGATGGCAGAGTTAAAGATGGAAAGACTCTGCATCATTGATGGCCTTGTTGAGACACTAAATTAACCAAAACCCCAAAACTTGACACTGTGTGTCGAGCAGTAGTCTATGTTCTGAGAATAGAATAAACTTTCAGCTCTCATAGTTTGCATTCTAGTAGTGAGAGGAAAAAACGTGGTTGGTTAGGGCAAACCCATATCACCTGAAGAATGCTGCCTTTGATATCTCTGATTATTTGATTGTGCCAAATGGGGACAAAGAGAAGAGGAGAGAAATACAGGAAAAAGAAGCTGAAAGAATCCAATCCTACTAGAATCCAGAAATGGACCAGGTTTCATAAAAATTTAATATCCATACACCACTTAGTTAGTATCCCAGCTAAGAATGCCAAACCTGAATCTAATCATGAGGAACCATCAGACAAACCCCAAATGAACAAGATCTTTCTTCTTCTTCTTCTTTTTAATGTAATAAAAGACAGGAAGACTAAGGAAATTTTTTGCATTAAAGGAGACTAAAGAGACATGAGAAATGAATGCAGTACCTAATCTTAGATTGTATCCTGTGTGTGGGAGGGTTACTATAATGTTCATTATTGGGTCAATGGGCAAAAATAGAATGCAGAAGGTAGATGAGAGAGAGACAGAGAGGATGAGGAGGGAGGGAAGTAGAGAGGGAAGGAGCAGATGATAAAGCAAATGGAGCAGATTTTTAGCAGTTGATGATTTTGAGTAAAGGATACATGAGTTCTTTGTACTATTCTTTCAACTTTTCCAAATGAGTTTTAAAAACATTCTGTCCGTGAGAAGATCTGGACTCTAAGCCAAGCCCCTTTGCTAAATCCATGGTTGACCTTGAATATATCCCTCTCTCTGGGCCTCCTTTTCTAGTCCAGATGCTTCCTGAGCGCCTTTTAAATATGTTTTTATTGACTTCAGAGAGAGAGGAAGGGGGAGCAGGAGAGAGAGAGAGAGAAAGAGAGAGAGAGAGAGAGAGAGAGAAAGAGAGAGAGAGAGAGAGAAACATCTATCAGTTGCCTCCTGTACAAGCCCTGACCGGGGATGGAGCCTGCAGCCTGGGTATGTGCCCTGACTAGGAAGCCAGCTGGGGACCTTTTCGTGCACCAGATGACGCTCAACCAACTGAGCCACACCCGTCAGGGCCTAAGGTCCTTTATGGTTCTGGTAATCAATGTTCCAGGACTCTCAGGACGTTTCCAGGCAGGGCTGTGGAATGAAGATCACCTCTTGTTTTCCTTCAGGGTCTCTTACCCCAACAGTTATTTCACCACAAGTTTCACGAAGGTGCCCACCCATGCTTCCATCAGCTTTCTATTTTCCCAGCCCAGCTCTGCCACTAGCTGCACACCTAGCTACTTTTTACAAGGCTCATCTTCCAGGAGGTTCTAGCATCAATAGGCACGTGCATTTATCCCCTAAGAAACTACAGCCCCCAAAAGGCTTAGCGGCAGCCTCATGGCGTTAAACACGAAAGAGAAAAAGCTTTTCAGCGCGGGTAAGCCGTTGCATGGCTTTTTGGGAATTGTAGTTCATCTGCCAAGAGCCCTGAAACCAGGACAAGACGGAAAGCCACCCTTCCCAGAATGCACAGCGCTATTCCCGACCAATCGGAGGCGCGGATCTTGGAAAGAAGGCGGGGAAGAGGAGGAGCCGCCTGGCGCCTGCGCAGTACGTGTGGCTGGGGAAGCCTTGTGGAGGTCAGAGTAGAAGCAGGTGAGAATGGAGGGGTACGGCTGTGGTCCGTTTTGGGCAACTCCGCAGTCCCTCTCTGCACTCCCATCTGCACTTGGGGAGAGCGGCGTGTATGCGCGGGTCCGCCTCGCGGGAAGCGGGTACGAGGCGAGCCCAGGACGAGCCAGGAGTTGCGTAGAGTAAGGGAGGTGTGTATGGGGGCAGGGTGAGGAATGATCCAGAAGCAGTGAGCAGTGGAAAGGCTGAGTGGTCAGGGCTGGGCGTCCTGGCATTGGGAAAGGGATGTTTCAATGCCCGAGGAGCGATCGGGGGAGGCTCAGGAGCTCTGGCCCGGAGGGAACGAGGGAGGCTTTGCGGCTGAAGCGGATGGCGACCACGGTGCGGAGCGTTGAGAAGTTACGTGCTGGAGCGGCTTCTATTCGGTCGGCGCGCTCCCGCCCACCCCGCTCAGCCCACCTGCCCACTTACTCTTCGTTATGTGGTTCCAGAATGTCATCCAGCTGTCGCTCCCATACCAGGTCATTCTTAATACCTGCAGTTGAGAAGCCGTATGATGAGGAGCTAAGCTGTGCCTCCTAGAATTCGACCTGTAGGTCTTCATCCTGGTTCTGCCACCTAATAGCTGTGTGCTCCTGGGCTCCCCATGTAACCTCACGGTGTGCCTCGGTTTCCTCACCTGTAGTAATCTACGGCATAGGGGCTGGTGTGAGGGTTAAATAAATTGCCGTTAGAAGGCCTGATAGAAAGGTTAGCGATTCGCTGTTTTTGCTGTGGGAATCACTGTGGAGCACACACTTTTGTTACCGGAAAGAGGACCTGACCCTGGGCCAGTCTGCCTAGGACCAGCCCCTACTGTGTGGGTTTGACTTGGTGCAGAAAAAATTTCCCAGCATGAGTCCAGGTGACTGTGAGGGAACATTTAGTAAAGCTGGGGACAGTAGAACGAGAAAGGGCTGAGCTTAGAAGAAGCAAAAGGAGAGCCAAGGCTGGGCTGCCCTAGCCCTCTGGGAAGGCAGGGAAAAGGGGGTCTAGGGAGCAGGTTCGGGGGTTGTCCTGGGATGAGGGGCTGCTACCCATTGCTCCCCTGGTTGCAAGCCTCCTGTGGTCCTCTAGGGTTTAGATTACAGCGGTTCTCAACCTGTGGGTCGCGACCCCTTTGGCGGTTGAACGACCCTTTCACAGGGGTCGCCTAAGACCATCCTGCCTATCAGATATTTACATGAAGATTCATAACAGTAGCAACATGACAGTTATGAAGTAGCAACGAAAATAACTTTATGGTTGGGTCACAACATGAGGAACTGTATTTCAAGGGCCAGAAGGTTGAGAACCACTGGTTTAGAAGATGCGTGCCTGTGGGGGAAGAAGAGTAGAAAGGGAATGGTGGGGCTGCTCCCCAGAAGGAGAGCATGCGCTGGGTCCTTCGTCTTGAGGCTTTTATTTCTCTCTTGCAGGCAAGTATCTTCGGGGAAGTATCAGGGGAGGGTTTTAACAGAATATTCACCAGTTTTCTAGGTGCGCTTCGTCAGGGTCGTGGTGTTCACTTATGGGTCAGTGTCAGGGCTTAATCAGTGCGGCTGGTCTTGGTATCACCCACCTGGTTTTGCTGCTTTTCCGGGTCTGGAGCCGAAATACAACTGAGGCCTAGATGTTATTTCTAGGGAGGTGGCCTTCTATATCTTGCAAATTGCTCTGTCAGTTTGTTTAGCTACCTACCTCAGTTTCCCTATTTCACTTGTCCTGGCTTACTGGCCTGGCTCACTTTGAGTTATTTTCTAAACCAAAATTGCACAGAGCCAGCCTCACAGCCTCTCTCAGGGTCTGTCCGGAAGATGGGAGGGTGGTTTATTGTGGTGCTAAGTTCCCTGTGGGTATCGAGCACATGCCCCAGTCCCGTGTGTTAACCAAGTGCTCCAGACCCCTCTTCTTAAGCGGTGGAAAAAGAAAGAGGCAGAGGGGTTGAAGCGCCAGTTTTCCAGGAATGGGGAGCAAACAGCCAGCTGGAGAAGTGAATATTGTGTGGCAGAGCGCGCTCTCTGAGGATTTGGGGAGCAAGTTGTTTTATCTGTTTTGTTTTTACCCTCTTAGGTGTGAGTGGGTCCAGCAGAAGGAGACATGGCTGCCAAAGTGTTTGAATCCATTGGCAAGTTTGGCCTGGCCTTAGCCGTTGCGGGAGGCGTGGTGAACTCGGCCTTGTATAACGGTGAGGCTCCTTTGCTGGAGGGCTTCTCTTCGTCGGCACAGCCCATGGGACGCTCCAGGCGGCAGCGCCACCGAATGTGAATGTGTTTGTGACCGAGCCGGCTCACTGCCGTCTCACACCATACGGTTACATTGTCGTCAGAGCCCCTGTCCTTTTAGCCAGAGGTTCTCTCGGAGCCGTTCTTCACAGGGAGCGTCCCAGTCTGGCTGCTGGTTGGATGTTTCCAGCTGCGCCGGTTCATTTGAAGGGACGCTGCACCCCCGGAGGCTGCAGCGGGCGGCCAGGATATCGCTGTCGCGCTGAAATGGAGATCTCATTTGTTCTCTTCTGCCCGTGGGAAGACTCAGCAGGAGCTGTAGGCCCGCGGTGACCTTGTGCTGAGCAGGAGCTTTGCTCTGCTGCAGCTGGGTCACTGCAGAGAAAATACCTTTGAGGTGCACTGCCCGGCTTTGAACAGGGTGGCAGGGGGTTGAGCTGGCTGTTCTTCCACTTTGCTGGGAGACCTGGTCCAGCGGTGGGATTGAACTAGTTATCTCTAAGCCCCCCTCCAGCTGTGAAATTCTCTAGCTTCCACTGTTGGCAAGCAGCAGTAGATGGACTCGCCTCGTGTGTGTCATAGGTGATGTCCGACAGGAGGATTCATTTCAGAGTGGAGCTGTTTGGACCAACGATAATGTCCGTAAAGCAGCGGATCAGAAAAGCCTGCTTGGCTTACATGGCATAGCTTTACACTCTGACCTTTTTGGTGTGTTGTTTGGGCAGTGTCCGTGTTTTATTGATCCTCCCCTGAGGATATTTTCTCCATTGATCTTTAGAGCGAGTGGAAGGGAGGGAGACAGACAGAGAGACACATCGATTGGTTGCCTCCTGCATGTGCCCCTGGGGCACTGGGGGTTGATCCTGCAACTGAGGTAGGTGCCCTTGACCAGAATTGCACCCGCAACCATTCAGTCCGTGGCCTGATGCTCTAACCACTGAGCCGCCAGCTAGGGCCACTCTGATCTTTGTGGCCATGCATCCCTGCATAATTATACAGTAATTACCATCACCAATTTCTCAACAAGACAACTCTACAACCCCTCAAAACCTTAGGGGAAAAAAAAAAGCTTTTGGAAAGAAAGAGGGACACCTGGATTTTAGGGTTCTCATAGTGGGGGTGCTGCTTCTGGAAACACGAGGTAAAATTGGAACCAGGTTGAACTGTGATAACAGTGAAGACTTCGGGGAAATTTAGAAAGAAGTTTCAGGAGGTGATTTCTGGATATGTGTTGATGGGAGTTTGGGGATGGGGTGGTTAATCAGAAAATCAGCAGCCAACTGTTTCAAGGAGAGAGGATGCTGAGGACCTATTAGCAAGGTCCTTGGGGAGACACATGGGACAGGAAGTGATTGCTTAGATTCGTAGCTATTAGAAGCCCCTGGAGACCAGAAGTGCGGGAAGATGGAGCAGGAGAGGGGAGACTTAATACATGAACAGAAAGCTCCAAGACCCTTTCCAGGGCGTGATTCTTTCGGTGAACAGGTGAGAGGAATTTCCTGACCCATCGCTGTCCTCACTCCTAGTGGATGCTGGGCACAGAGCTGTCATCTTCGACCGCTTCCGTGGCGTGCAGGACATCGTGGTGGGGGAAGGGACTCACTTCCTCATCCCTTGGGTACAGAAACCGATTATCTTTGATTGCCGCTCTCGACCTCGTAACGTGCCCGTCATCACGGGTAGCAAAGGTGAGTCTCGCCCGTGGGTTCGGGAGAGGGTGGAAGGGGTGCTGTGGGGTCCACAAGAGGTTGAACTTCACATAAGAATTCCTGGCATCTTTTCCCTGGAGAGTGGTACCTGGATTCATAGCAAGAGATACGTACTTAAGGTGCGCACACAGACAACTGCGCACATTTAAAGAAACACAAAGGTCTGTTCAAGAGTCACATTGTGACCCAATTGGAAAGAAATCTGAGGATGCCCTGCTCCCTCCCGTTGGCTCTTCTTGCCCAGGATCCCTGGGTAGACCCATCTGGCGGCTCTGTTTGCCTCGCAGCTGACTCGCCCTTTGCCTGACCTCCCGTCCTCTCACAGGCGGAGGCCCACTTCCCTGGGAGCTGTGTCCTGGTGTCCGACACGCCACTGGCTATGCAGTGGGAGCCTAAAACGAGTTGTTGTCCTTGTTCCCCCCCATCCTCATAGAGGTGCTCAGGCAGTAAGTGGAGTAGCAGGTGCCAGCTCAGCAGCCACACGTCCGCACAGCGAGAGGAGAGGGTCGCCCTCGATGCCTTCCTCCACTGATACGCACTTCCTGTGACTGTGCCTGGATTTTTGCTGGGCAGGGGCTGGGGCCAGTTCAGAGATGACTAAAGCAGGGGCCTTAAGGAGCTCTGTCCAGCTAGGGAGACAGAGATGTGCACGGACAGGCATAGTGTAGTGAGCACCAGAGCCGAGGTTAGACGGCGGGCGCGTCGGGGGCAGAGAGGAGGGCGGCTAGCCCACCAGGGGTTGGGCAGGCTCCCGTGAGGAGCTTCTATCTGAACGGGGACTTTCGAGTGAGCGGCGTGTCGGGCAGAGGCCGGAGGGTAAGTCGGTAGGGCATCATCTGTCCCGTAGCCCCTGGCCAGGGAGGGGAAGGGGCCTCCTGTGAGGGCCTGGCTTGCCTGCTACCCCAGAGGAAATCCGAGGTGGGGTGGGGTTCATCGAGAAACAGAACTGTAACCTAAGAGCCTCGGTCTCAACTTCCCAGCTCCTGGGGGTTTCTGCTCTGCTGTCCTGCAGTTGTGCTAAGGATACTTCCTGTGCCTAGCTTCAGAGCTGTGGGGAGGGGATCCAGAGACCAGGGGCCTGTGCATTTCCCACTTCCCTTGCCTGGTTCAGCTGTCCCAGGGATGCTTGGTCCATATGCTTGTTGACTGCGAGCCAGCTGTGACCGTGCGTCAGCTCCGAGCAGGCCTGGCTTGTTAGAGGAAATTGTGTTTCCCTCCTTGGTCCTTTGCCTGGGTAATGAGAGGTGAGCTGTACCAGTGGGTCAGTGGTTCTCAACCTTCTGGCCCTGGAAATACAGTTCCTCATGTGGTGACCCAACCATAAAATTATTTTCGTTGCTACTTCCTAACTGTAATGTTGCTACTGTTATGAATCACAATGTAAATATGTGATATGCAGGATGGTCTCAGGCGACTCCTGTGAAAGGGTCGTTCGGCCGCCAACGGGGTCGCGACCCACAGGTTGAGAACCGCTGCAGTAGGTGACCCTGGCCTCTTACATCTGTTGCGTTTGACCGTGTTTTTTGTCTTCTCTGTTTGTTTCCTTCAATGTGCCTGGAAGTCAGATGAAATCATCCCTGTTCTTAGAGAACTAAGTTGAGGTTGGCTAAAGCTTAGCAGAGTCGGATAATTAGTAACCAGCAGAGTAGGACTGCGGCCCAGGCCTTTGGACTATTGGTTCTGTCCAAAGTGGACTATTTCTGCTGGGCCCACGGTAACCCCTCCAAAGCATGCTTCTGACCTGGGTCACGTGCACCAGGCCTTGGACAGGCCTCGCCCTAGAATTCTTAGCATTGCCGTTTCCTTAAAACATCCATGTTCCAGACCCATAGCACCTGTTGCTTATATCGGGGAGCATTCAGGGTGCACGGAAAAGCCGTGGTCACCGGACGCCTTTAAGAGGCTCCTCACTGGTGCTCTGCTGGGTTCTCTACCAAAGACCCCAGACATCTTTGCTCCATGCCCTCTCGGATCAGCAACTCTACTTACAAATTGTAGCAAATCGGGGGTAGGAGGTCCCCTCGGAGGCCACTGTGAGTTTTATTTTAACTCCAGCCTCTCCCCCTCCCCCCCTTCCTGCCCGAAGACTTGCAGAATGTCAACATCACGCTGCGCATCCTCTTCCGCCCGGTCGCCAGCCAGCTCCCCCGCATCTTCACCAGCATCGGCGAGGACTACGACGAGCGGGTGCTGCCCTCCATCACCACGGAGATCCTCAAGTCGGTGGTGGTGAGTGGACGGCCTGCGCCCCGAGCTGCGAGGGTGGCCCCGAGGGTCACTGAGGGGCGGGGAGAGCGTGGCAGGGGGCGGTGGGGATGTGGCCGGGGGTTTTCTGGTCCCTTTTCCGCTCCCTCACTGCCCTGAGCGGCTGCTCTGCCCTCCCCTGGAACCAGGCTCGCTTTGACGCTGGAGAGCTCATCACCCAGAGAGAGCTGGTCTCCAGGCAGGTGAGCGACGACCTGACGGAGCGAGCCGCGACCTTCGGGCTCATCCTGGATGACGTGTCCTTGGTAAGATCCTTGCGGAGCCTGCAGGGAGGGGCCCGGTGCGTGCTGGGGTGCCTGGCTCCGTGCCTGGGGAGACGCTGTTGGGTCCTGCCTTCCACGTTCCTAGACGTGAGACTTGAAAGCGTGGGAACTTCTTGCCGTGTGAGGCCCTCTCCTCAGGCTTGTTTTCAGCAAGGCCTCTTTCCCTCACCCCGGCCACTCACTCTTGACTTCTGGCGCTGCCCTGGGGGGTGACCTAACCACGAGTGTTTTCACCATCCCAAACCGTGACTGGCTGTGCCTGCTCCCCAGAGCTCCCCGGGAAGTGGTGCCTTGTTGGCCGTCTGACACAGGAGGAAGCTGCCGGGTGAGACCGAGAACACGCGGATAGTCTTTCTCCCCAGCGCAGACCTCCCAGCCTGACCCGTGGGCATTTCCCAGCACTAGGGTCTGAGGGTCTGAAGCTCAGTGACCTGAGCTGTGGGAACCCCCAGTGAAAGGTGATAGCGTGTAAGTGAAGGGTTCTGCTCCCCAACGCCGAGGACTGAGACTGCATATCTGTGTATTTATATACGCTAAACGCCGTAAGTCAGACGGAAAGCAGCACAGGCGGAGTAGCATTTCAGATGGAGGGGGCGAGGGGGAGGTTCATGTTTCTAGATTCGTGGGAAAAACCATTTGGAGTGATTTGCTCAGGTAGTGAGGTGGTGTTTCCTGTTCGGTTCTCCTGTGCATCGCTAGGCAAAGGCACCGTTTCCCCCTCAGCATCTGTGCAGCTGTTTAAACATCACAGTCCAACACCCAGAGCTCGCCGCAGGGCATGGCTCCACCCGCTCCACCTTGCATCCATTGCCCGCCATGGAAGGGCCTGTGGGCTCCCTCTACTGGCGAGATTCCAGGCTGCAGCCATTTGGCTCTGACTAGTGGTAATTCCTCAGGTTCTCACTGTTAGCCCGCGCACCTCGGCTGTGGGAAAGTGCTAAGTAAAAACCTAAGGAGAAGCTTGGCCTTTTGTGAGGCTTTAACCACATGCTCCATTCTGGGGAGATGTGGGCTGACCACAAGAAACCATATCTAAGAGGTGTGAGAAGAAAATTAGATTTCATGGGGAATTTGCTGCCCTCAGCTGGCCCTTATAGAAAGAAAACGTATTCCTTAATTGCACATTTCATTTCTCATCTCTCAGGATTGCGTTTTCTCCCCCAAATGTTGACCAAGAGTCCAGAAACGGAGCAGGCAAAGTAGAACAGCCGCAACGTACGCGTCAGGAGTGTTCACAATTCTGGAAGGCAGTGAGACTAGGATTGACTCTCCAGGAGGAAACTTGAGTTACTGATGCTTTTTAAAAAAAGCAGAGGTTGGGAGAGTGGAGGAGGAAATAAAAAACAGTAGAATTTGATAGCAAAACCAAAGCTCCTTTTCCCTTTATTTCCTCCTTTTTCATAAAAAAAAAGTTGATAAATAAGTAAATCCTTTCTAGACTCGCCATTAGGCATTCTGAGATCTGTTCCCTTTGTTTGCACGATCAGTAGAGGCAGTCACTTCGGCCAAGTCTCAGTTATTTATGCTCTTAGGGGATGTCTGGGTAATCCGAATTTTAAACCTTCTTCCTAAGCAATAGCTTTAGCTGCCTTCTCTCTCTTTTAAACCCTTTACCAGAAGCGCTCACACAGGGAACACCCTGATGTGCATCCCACGTTCTCCCGTCCTCTTCCTGTTTGGTGGTGGAGGTGCTGTGGGAAGGAAGGGGGCTGGTTAGCCCGTAAGCGCAGAGCAGGCTCTCGAACCCCTGAGAACCAGCTGCATCCCTCCCTCTCGGGGTCTCCACCTGGCCTCTCCAGGGGCATCAGAGGGCCTTCTAAGAGCGCTGGTCATGGTGGGGGCGCTGGGACCCACAGGTCTCCTTCTCTAGGGAGGTGGTCAGTTGAGTAGATACCTTCAGTGCCTGTGGGCAGTTTTCCATCTGAGATGGTCGCACTGAGGGTGACAGCATGATGTACGGGAGCAGAGGGGCAGCCGAGGGCTCTGGGTGTAACCTAGTTTGGACACAGCTATGGAGGTGGAAGGGGGATCCAGCCTCCCGAAGCCTCCAGCTGCTAGAGCCATTCCTGGCCTTTCCCTCCAGCGGCCGCCGGGGCCTTGCAGCCACGCTGCCTGAGCAATTACACCGCCTCATCTTGTGCTCGCTCTCTCCCTTCAGACGCATCTGACCTTCGGGAAGGAGTTCACAGAAGCAGTAGAAGCCAAGCAGGTGGCCCAGCAGGAAGCGGAAAGGGCCAGATTTGTGGTGGAAAAGGTGAGCGTTCGGCCAGATGGCAGAGCCCCTCTCCCCTTTCTCCTGCGCTCGGCCTCCCCGTTTGCTGGGTGGCCTGGAAATTCATCATCTGTCATCTCTCCTTCCGGGATCATTGGAAGGGGATGGAAGGGACCGTACTCCTGCAACTGGTTCCAGAGTCTTTGGGGGCTAGTCAGGGATTATGTGAAGTTACGTTCCCAAATCACTGAAGGGCCGTTTTTTTCCCTCCACTTCCCTAAGATCAAAAACACTTTCAACAAATAAAAATGTTTTTCTCCTGGCATATTTTCAGCTTCGCTGAGAGGTCATTTTTAACCGTAGTTACACAGTGAAAGCTGACAGCGAAAGGGATCAAATGTTGCACCAGATGCTCTGTCGTCACTGGGTTTGTTCAAACGCTAAGCCCATCCAGATGTGTCAGCGTGTGAGGGACACAGTGTATTTGCATAGCAGTCCGGTCTTCCCGGTCTCTGCAAAGGTGTGTTTATTCCTTCCCACCGCTCGTTCTCTGGCATTGGCGTTGGCATTGGCATTGTAATCCAGCGATTTCTGAGCGGTGTACCGCAGAGCCCAACGCACGCAATGCCTGGCTATTCAGTCAGGGCCCTGACCTCTTTTCCCTTAGAGTGTCAAATAAGAAAATGACGACAGCCAGCACAGTAGCCACCTGGTGTGAATGAATCAGAATTATACCTATTTTTTTTTTTTTTTGTCAGATCACCAAACAGTAAGGTGTGCCGTAGAATTTTAGTGGTTAGTTTATGTGTGTCATGAGATGAAAAAGGCTGAAAATCGTTGTTCTAATCCAACACCCTTAGTCCTTGAAATGAGGGAAAAGAGGGACGTGGGTGGCGAGCATTTAATGTTAGAGAATGTAAACTCTCTGAGCAGGAACTTTTTTTTTTCTCTTTATATAAACTGCCTATCTCCAGAGCCTTAGACATGTGCCTGGAGCAACTAGGTGCTCGGTAAACATTTGTTGAGTGAATAGTCACAGAGCCTAAGGATTTCCAAGTTGTGTTCATTTTATTGGTCATGCATTGTAGATAGAGGTCCTATTGGTAGGAGTATGGCAAGCCCAGGAGACCTCATCCTGGGTGCCTGGGCTCCTGGCAGCTCCAGGGAGCGCTACACATGCCTGTTTCTCTGGCTTAGCGACGCTGGCTTTGGTGAAAGTCACTTTGACCTGGGACTGGAGGGAAAGAGGAGCCTGAGCAGTGATTCTGCTTTTCTCGGTCTGTTTTCCTTGGCCTGGGATGCTCTGGCTCAGAGTAGTGTGGCCGGACTAGATTGCTGTTACTATTAAGACTTTAGAACAAGACAGCTGTTTATGCAGCCGACAGAATGTGTCCCTAACGTGATGAGAAGTGGGTGGTCCCGGAATGAGAGGATTGGTGGCACACAGTGCTTGGGGACCCCACCCGGAGGAGGAGGCGGCGGCAGATACCCAGAGTTCCTTGGGGAAGCAGTGAGGGTGCGAGGCTATGGCCTGCCCTCCAGCGCCCTGAGGTGTGGCCTCAGTCTCTCCCCACCTCCCCGTCTTAGGCCGAGCAGCAGAAGAAGGCAGCCATCATCTCCGCTGAGGGCGACTCCAAAGCCGCCGAGCTGATCGCAAACTCACTGGCTACTGCGGGCGACGGGCTGATCGAGCTGCGCAAGCTGGAAGCGGCCGAGGACATCGCCTACCAGCTCTCCCGCTCTCGGAACATCACCTACCTGCCGGCCGGGCAGTCGGTGCTCCTGCAGCTCCCCCAGTGAGGCCTGCCCTGCCCGCACCGCTCGGGCCCGGGGCCACAGCCCCGAGGACTCTGAGCATCACCTTCCTTCTGCCCCAGAATCACTGTGAAATTTCATGATTGGCTTAACGTGAAGGAAATAAAAGTAAAATCACTTCAGCTCTCTAATCACTCTTATCAGATGAAACTCTTTTGTTCTCATTTCCACCCACTTTCTCTACCCACCTCCCTACCCAAAACTGCCAAGTGCCTATGCAGACCAGCTTGACTCCTGTCCCGGTTGGAGGCCCGCGGGAGCTCCAGCCTAGGCCGAGGCAGTTGGCAGAAGAAAGGCGGGTCGCGTGTGTGATGGGCTGGGGAAGCGCAGTGGTCAGCCTGAGTAAACCAGTAGCCTGCAGCCCTCCGTCTACCAGGATTTGAAGACGCCGCACAGCTGGACCAAGCACGCAGGCCTCCGTTTTCCAGCAGTTCCTGCGCAGACCCAGCTGAAGAGGTGCCGGGTGGGTCAGAGAGGAAGCGGTCTGTCTCTACCATCAGGCTGATTCTCTCTGGGGCCAGCGGAAGCAGGTGTGTGCACACGGCATGGATGGAAGGATCTGCCCTGTGCAGGTGGGTGGGCTGGATTTGCTGCCCCCCGGGGCTCCTGAGCTGAGATGGACTTGGCTAGTGGGAGAGGAGGCCTGGACTGAGATGTGAGTCCGTGGGAGACTTCCTCTCCACCCCCACCTCGGTCTCAAATGCCCGGCGGAATTCCATCGTGAAGGATTGCATCCTGCGGGCTGGGCGTGCCTGCCAGGGACGTGCGCTCTGCGCTCCTGGCTCTGCTCCGGGGAGACTGAAGGAACGGCCTTGGGGAGAAAGCCAATGTGTGTAAACTGCCGTCAATAAATGGCACCCAGACCTCGCAGCTCCGTCTTCTGCTTGTTTTTCTGTCTGGGAGCCGTGGGATCTGAACAGAATGTTCCCGCAGTTTCTGTGTGCACATGTTTGCATGGCCAGCGGGGACGAAATCTCCAGCAAGGCAGAAAATGCTCAAGTTTCAGAAAACTGCCGTGTTCTAGATCCATCCTCAACCGGAAGTGAACGTCTGGTGTTAGGTGAGGCTTGTCATGAGATGGGCTCTCAGGTACCGGTGAGTGCAGGGCCATTGACTCTGAGGCTTTGGAACCACTGTGAACTGGGAGTTGTGGGCCCGCCCGGCACTGTCAGCATCAGTCCCCTGACGGGACATAAAATCCATGAGTGTGAGCCCTCTGCCCTGGTTTGGTTTCTATGTACACGAGGTGGCTTCGGGGGCTCTGCTGTGAGTGGAGATGGCTTGTTCTGCTGTGCTTTGATGTAGAAATGGCATTTACGAGGCCACGTCTTTGCATTGGGGGTGGCGGGGAGGGAAAGCAGAGCTAGACTGAGAGATGAGCCGTGCCAATCCTTTCAGGAATAAAGCGGAAGCGAGGACGTGCTGTGGACGCGCGCACTGACTGCTTGAACCTCTGCTCTCACTTTAACCCCAGGTCCTGCACCTGGCCAAGGCGAGGGTCTCTGACCTCAATTCTGCATTTCCCTCCCACGGGACAGGGCCAGCTGTCAGCTGAGGAAGGCGGAGACAATGCACAGAGGTAGCTCTAGGGACCGAGTGTTCCCATCCTTGCACCCCGCTCCCCTCCCTGGGCCTCTCAGCAGGGATTGAAACCCTTGCCAGGCACCCCCCAATGACAAGTGTGCTCTGGGCTGCTGACCCTCGGCTGAACCTCACACCTCCCACCAAAGCCGCATTCTGCTGATACTCCCACCAGCCTCCCATCCGACCCACCTCCCTGCCACCTCCCCGGCGTCATTTATCTCAGGATCTTCCTTCTTACTTGCGTGTTTTTGCTGTAAGAACAGCGAGGCCTGCGAATGATAAGGTGCCTGGACTCGAAAACACATTCAAGACTGGAGCAGAGAGAGCATAATGCCTCTAGCGGATCCAGGCCGACTCCCATCCACAGCTGTCCTCCTTTCCTGCCGTTTATGGCTTCGGATGCTCTGGGAGGGAGGGAGGGGCGGGCAGGAGGCTCCTCTCCTCCCCGGGACCGTTTTTAGAGAGCAGTTGTGTTTCTTGCATTTGACAGGGGCGATCAGGTTTCAGGCCGCAGGTGTCGGCAAGGGAGCCCTCCGCAGCTTCTGGGTTCCTTCTGCCTCTGGCGGCCTCTTCGCTGTCAGGCAGGGTCAGGCCCGGCTCCTGCTGCTTTTGCTGTTAGTCTCCTTGCCATGGGTGGTGCCAGCGGCAGCCCAGGGGCCTCATTCTGCTTCGACTTCCGCCAAGTAGTAATTCTTTTCACAAATGTTCAAGGGCGGTTAACTGGCTGCTCAGCCCCAGAGTCCCCTGATGGCCTCTGGGTTTCTCCAGAAGCTGCCACAATGAGCCTTTATCAGCTTGGGATCCTCTGGGCCGCGGATCACAATCCATGTCCTGCCCTGGCCAGGGGAGGGGCAGGCAGGGAGGTCTCCTCTCTCCTGGGGTCAGGCTGAATAGTCCCCTTGTTCAGGCACCAAGGGGCTCTTCCTAAGCAGGCGATGGACCCTGGACAGGGAGGAAGAGAAAACCCTCAAAGGGTTGCCCTTTTCCTTCTTGTTTTACATAAATTCTCCCCATGTGGACTCACGGCGGGGATGGGGGGGGGATGGGGGAGGGAGTTGTATTGTGGTCACTGCCAAGTGGCTTGATCCGAAAGACAGGAAGAGACAAGGAAACATTAGTCAAATCCCAATGTAGCAAATACAGTTCTAATAGGACATTCCAGCAATCCGCAGGGCTATGCAGATAGCACCTCCCTTGACCTTTGCCATCCGCCAGCAGCCCTCCCTGACTGAAAGCGACCTGGGTGGGAGGCTGCTGGAGGCCTCGCTCCAAACTCCTCGTTCATCCTGCTCCAAACTTCGTTTTCTAAAGCAGATCGCGCTCCCTCCCTCCTGCGGACACTCCTCGCTTAACAAAGTGCAAGTGTCTTGTCCTGGCACGTGAGGCCCTCCGTGCTCGGCTGCTAATTTCCCAGTCCAGCTTTCCATCCCACTGCGTGTCTTCACAAACCTATCTAGCGTTTCCCGCGGAGTGGGGAGCGTTGCTGGAAAATGCAAGTGGAAAGGGGCCGGGGCTACCGGCATTAGGTGAGGGTCGGGAGGTGGCGGGGATGCTGAAAGACCTCCTTTGTACGGGGCAGACTCATACAATGAAAAATCGCCCCCCAATAATGCCAATAACACCCCCATTGAAAGCAAGCACCAAAATGAGTGCCTTGCCCTTGTCTGCACCCCCTTTGCTCATTGTCACTTCATCCCGGACAGCCCTTCCCCCAGGTTGCACAGACTCAGATGTCCCCTCCCCTTGCAGCCCTAGCTCAAGTCCTTTCTCTTCCACAGAACTTCCCCTGGTGTCCCCTGCTCCCCGTCCATTGCTTCTCCCATGCCCGAACTCCATGACCAAGTCCCACAAGGCAGTCGGCGCTATCTTCTTTGGGTGGTAGGTATGTGTGTGTTCTCTCTCCTGCTCTACATTTCCGGAGTGCACTCATTCCCCTTTTCTCTGCTTTCCCTTAACAAGCCAAACTCGCCTGGCTCTTGATGGAAATTACTGAATGTTTGGCGAATGCAGAGATGAAGGAACAGAGAGTACAGGACGGAGGTTACAAATGAGGGCTGCAAGTTAAGGCCCTGGCGTTCCCCTGTCACACCATCGCATGAAGTTACCGCAACCTACTCAGAATCTGGGTTCTCAGGGTCTGGCAGGCCAACCCTCCACTAAAGCCCCACCCTGACCCCAGTCTCATCACTCTCTCCCTTCATATGGGCTCTGCGTGTACTGTCCCCTCACGGTCACCTGCCCACAGCTCAGTCTCTCCTGCTTCTGCCTGAAACACCACTCGCCCACCCACACACACACTTTTAAAATACATATATTTTTACTGATTTGAGAGAGAGAGTAAGGGGGTAGGGGGGAGACATCAATGTGAGAGAGAAACATCGATCGCTTGCCTCTGGCATGCACCTTCCCCGAGGATCAAACCCGCAGCCTGTGCGTGTTCCTGACCAGGAATCGAACCGGAGACCTTGCAGGGCACGGGACAACGCTCCAACCAACTGAGCCACCCAGGCCAGGGCTCTCCTCCCCGTCTTTAAAAAATTGTTTTCAGTTATAGTTGACATCCAACATTGTGTTAGTTTCAGGTATACAGCATCATGATTGGACATCTGTCTACCTTACAAGGTGATCACCCCGATAAGTCTAGTACCCACCTGGCACCATCATCGTTGTTAGAATCTCTCCTCCCCTTTTCCATCCCTGTCCCAGGCCCCACTTAGAATCCCTCTTCTCCAGGAATTACCTCTGGCTGACCTCTTGCTAGCTTTCTGTGCCTGTAAGTCTCCCTTTGTAAAAGGACATTGGCGCTGGAACTCTGGCAACACGGGGCCTGAGAACTGAACAGAAAAGGAGGGATGAGGCCTGCCCGGGACGGTGGAGGCTGGGAGCTTTGGCAAGGCCCAGATGCACGGAGCTGGAGAGAGAAAGGACGGAAACGTACTGGGCCTGGGGAAACCAGTCCACAGTTGGGAGAGAGCTGTCTGCGTTTGGCTGAATGAGCTGCAAACACTTAGGTCAGGGATTGGCCAGCTACGTGAGCTGTAGGCCAAGCACATCCCTCCACTCGTTTCCATACAGCTCACAAGCTGACAATGGTTTTCACCCTTTTAAATGGTTGGGAAAATATCAGAAGAAGAATAAGCCCGGCCGGCATGGCTCAGAGGTTGGGCATCGACCTATGAACCAGGACAACAGCACTCCTTGCTGACCTTGTGCAGCACCGAGTTGGGAAGGACGTCCAGTATTTCTCGCTCTATAAAGCAATTCCGTTTAGTGCAGTGGTTCTCAACCTTCCTAATGCCGCGACCCTTTAATACAGTTCCTCATGTTGTGGTGACCCCCGATTTCATTGTTACAAATTGGACATAATTGAAGCATCGTGATTCATCACAAAAACAATATGTAATTATATCTGTGTTTTCCGATGGTCTTAGGCGACCCCTGTGAAAGGGTCGTTCGACCCCCATAGGGGTCGCGACCCACAGGTTGAGAACCGATGATTTAGTAGACAGAATATGGGTCCTAGAGTTAGAAAGATTTGGGTTTGGATTCTGACCCTGCTTGGGAGATCTTGGGTAAATTCCTTGAATACTTCAAACATCTTTTTTTTCTTCTTCTCAAAAAAACTAAGGATGTGAATACCCACACCGCAGTGTGGCTGAGGAGTGAATGAGAGGACAGAGGTGAAAATGCTTAGCACGGGGCTTAGCACGTAGATGCTCCAATATTCTCACTCTCTTCCCTATTATGTCCCGGGAGCGGCCTGCCTCTCCCCAGCGTCAGGGACCAGGAAAGTCCTCGGGAATCCTGAGATGGCAGAGGGCATCTGTGTGCCCCTGACAACATGCCAGCGATTGAGAAGGGACATAAGGACCGCCAAGGGTCTGAACCTGGTCTGATTCATACGAGAAGATGCAGGAGGGATTGTGCTCTGGTGTCCCCTTCCCAGGAGCCCCGATGTCTCGAGGGAGGTAGCTTGACCTGGCATTCCGTAAGCTGTGTTCAGTCATTATTTGAGGTCGAGGGTGCCGATTGGCCGCGCAAACTCCAGAGTGACTTTTTGTACAAGGGGTTTGTGCATTAGCCTTTGTTAGGTCACTGTTTACACGAGTTCCTTTACCTCTCCAGCTCCCCAGTTCCCCATCCTTACATGGAGGGGGTAGGCCTATCAGCTATTTGCCAGTTGATCTCGGAGGAGTAATGACCGGGGAACAGGTCCAGCGGAGAGTCCCTCCCTCCCCTGCTACAGCCAGAGCAGCGGGGAGTGAATCCATCTTACATGAGGACCTGGGTCACAGCTGTCATTGGAAGCAAGGGTTGCATGGCTGCAAACGTTTGAAAATCCGCTGTCCTGGGAGCTGTGCTCAAAGGTTCCTGTTCTCTCTCGAGTCTCAGACTGAGCCCCGCAAGGCTGTGCCTCGCTTCTCCACCAGGTGGCAGCAGCCTGCCTGCCGCTGCGGTGCCAGGCCCGTCAACAAGCACAGGATGTTCAGAACAAGATCCCAGAGAAGGGACTGGGGGAGGTTGGCAGCCAGTGTGCGGATCACGGGTCCGGGTGACTTCCTGATGTAGAACCCCTTGGGCACCCGTGGCTGTAAACACACCGCTGTCCTGTCCCAAGCACCAGCCAAACTGGTGCTCCCCCTCGCTTTGCCAGGGGGAGTGCCCCCCAGTGTAGCTTTAACGCCTCCTTAACCCAGGGCGCTGGGTGCTTGGCTTTGGCAGACCTGAGGTCAGTTTGTGGAGCTCACCCATTTGTTAATGAATTAATAAGACGCAGAGGGGACTTCAGATTCTCTTTCTAAAGCCCCATGAGTTTTCTTCTAATTTATTTAAAACATTTAGGAGGAGCAAAATTAAATGTAAGAGGCTGCCAGGCAGTTGGGGGAGGCTTGACCTTGCATCTTGTGAATGCTCTTTTTTAAAAAAGTATATATATATTGATTTCAGAAAGGAAGGGAGAGGGAGAGAAAGAAACATCTTTTTTTTTTTTTTTTAAATTGATTTCAGGGAGGAAGGAAGAAGGAGAGAGAGAGATAGAAACGTCAATGATGAGAAGAATCACTGACCAGCTGCTTCCTACATGCCCCCCACTGGGGATGGAGCCTGCAAGCCAGGCATGTGTCCTGACTGGGAACCGCACCTCAACTTCCTGGTTCAAAGGTTGATGCTCAACCACCGAGCAACGCCGGCCGGGGATCTTGTGGACATTCTCGATGAATGAACAGACCTAAAAAGACAAGTGTTGTGTAAGCAAGTTGGTCCATTCATTCACCCAGCGGTTGATGACTGAGTCCCTACTGTGTGCAGTCCTGGGCTATGTACTTCAGGCGATTAGAAGATGAACCCGACGCAGGTCCTTTATAAAGAGGCCAAAACAACGTAGTCCAAAGGCCAGGGGATCAGGTCCTGTGCATTGAGGTGCATTATGTTTTCCTTCTTCCTTCAGATTTCTGTTCCTCATTCTTTGGTTCAAGTGTAAACGTAAATGACGAGACTATGAAGTGGGGAGAGAGACAGAGAAAGGCGTGGTTGGAAGGAAGCCAGAGACAGCGCAAACGCTTGCCATCAGGAGTCCGCAAAGTGGAGTGTAGAACTGGCTATTCTGTCTGTTACCGATGTGTACAGACCTCAAAGCCAAGCCTTTTCCCCGTCTCCTCCCCTCAGTTTTCCTGGAGAAGGTGTGAGCCTCTCTCTACCCCTTTTCATTCTGCAAATGCACGCTGCCTGATTCTTTAAGCCTTAAAAATAACACCCAGTGATCTAATACCTCTCTCTTGTAAATAATAGGGACATGTGAAGAATAGAACAGAGTGAATCATAATGCCATTGCCCCCAGGTAATATTTTTTAAGTATGTAAACATCACTAAAAAATGCAAATAGTGCAGAAAGATAAACAATGAAAAGTGAGCCGAAACCGGTTTGGCTCAGTGGATAGAGCGTCGGCCTGCGGACTGAAGGGTCCCGGGTTCGATTCCGGCCAAGGGCATGTACCTGGGTTGCGGGCACATCCCCAGTGGGGGGTGTGCAGGAGGCAGCTGATCGATGTTTCTCTCTCATCGATGTTTCTAGCTCTCTATCTCTCTCCCTTCCTCTCTATAAAAAATCAATAAAATATATTAAAAAAAAAAAATTTAAAAAAAAAAAAAACAATGAAAAGTGAAAGCCTTCTCACGATTTTCTCCCACAGTTCCTCTCCCCCAGAGGAGCTACTGTTCGGTTGCATAAATTTCCTTCCAGAAAAAAGTGAGGCATTCCGCAGTACGTGCATCTCTCCACCTCAGAGAACATTCCTCCGCTCTCCTGATTATTGACACAAAAGGGATTGCACTGTTCTGCACCTTGCTGTTTTCACTGATCACAGTATCTTGGTCATGTCACCACAATAGCACATACAAATCCACCCCCTTCTTTAAAAATGTTTTTATTGAGTTTTAGTGAGAGAGGAAGGGAGAAGGATATAGAGAGAGAAACATGAATGCGCCCCCTACTGGGGATGGAGCCTGCAACCGGGCATGCGCCGTGACTAGGAATCAAACCGACAACCTCTTGGTGCGTGGGACAACACTCCACCAACTGAGCCGTACCGGCCAGGGCCACCCACTTTTTTTATAACTATATTGTTATTGATTTCAGCGAGGAAGGGAGAGGGAAAGAGGTAGAAACATCAATGATGAGAGAGAATCATTGATTGGCTGCCTCCTTCACGCCCCATATTGGGGATCGAGCCTGCAACCCGCACATGTGCCCTGACCAGGAATCTAACCGTGACCTCCTGGTTCAACCACTGAGCCACGCCAGCGGGCCCACCCCATCCTTTTTATGGTTACACCCTTTCCCTGGGATGGCTCGATCATGTTTTGTTGTCACCAGTAGGCTTCTGCAAACCTCTTGGTGGTTTTCATGTGCTTCGCTGTTGCAAACAAAACCACAATGCCTGCTGCCCGATGGTTAAAGGGGCCCAGCGATCTCTGCACCAGATTTCCCTCCCAGGCCAACCAGCGGAACCCAGGGGCCTAGGAAACAGCCCTCGGGGTGGGGAGATGGCAATGCCTGAGCCCCCAGAGCTGCCCGGAGGCTCCCTACGGTGAATGTGTGACTCTGACTTCTTTGCGGAAGTCATTACTCCACCTCCTGTCCCTGCCACACTGGCATGGCTTCCCCCAGGCTAGCCACCCCGCCGTGGCTGCCCTGGGCTGGAGTCCCTGTACCGCCCAGCTGGTTGAGGGCTCACTGGGTTGGCGGGAGGACGGGCTCTCTGAGGCTCTTGCCTCAGACCAAGGCTGCTCTGATTAGCTGGTGTTCATGGCCACACGATGCTGCTCTGAGATTTACAAACAAACAGGAAGCCAGTCCACTTCCTCCTTGCTGGGGCTGGTCCCCCCGCCTTGGCGCCCAGTTAGCCCAGGATTCACAAGGCAGCTTCCTGGCAGAGGTGGCGGGGGAATTCTGGGGCCCCACCCAGGGCAGACTCCCCAGCTCTCTGCCCCTATGTGCCCAGCTGGGCAAGCAAAGGGAGGCTCAGGTCTCTCCGGGGGGGGGGGGGGGGGGATGTGTTCTGATAAACCTCACCCTGGGTGGGTCCCTTCCTCCTTCGGTTCTAAGACGGAGCTCTGACGCTGTAGGAGCCGCTCTCTGGGGGTCTGTGGTGGGAGACGTTTCTCCCTGAGCCAGTACCCACCCCGCAGGCTGCTCTCTGCTCCTGGGAACACCCAATACATGTCTGTCGACTGAAGGGCTGACCAACTCTACCAGGAGTGCCAGGGGGCACGGGAGACGGACAGGGCTGCAGTCACAGCTCACGGTGGGGCCAGAAGGCTTGCTACTTGGGACCAGGGGCAGCTGAACCAGGAGGCAGTGGTGGGCACAGTTCCAGGTGTGAGGCCGAGGTGCAGCCGGGGCGGAGGCTGGAGGTGAGAGCTGCCAATATTCTGTCTGGTGAACACGTCCGAAGGTCCCTGCTTTCCGATCAGTTAGTTACTAAATACATTATTCACAGGCGCCTGTTTTTTAAGGAATTAAATTTTTTTAAAACACAGTCAACATAAAAAACAGCGCTGAGCATATTTAATCCTCTGCGGTGACTCAGCGCGGCAGGCCCGCCCTCCCTGCCTGGGGCGGTCATTAGGATCATCAATGACTTTAGGGAACATGAGCCCTGGGCCCAGCAGCCGCCGTGAGTCACTGCCAGTTGCTGGAAAAAGAAAAATCTCTGATATCAACTTGTTTAGTTGCTACTGTTCAGAAAGCTGGGCACAAAACAAACAAACTTAAACACAAACCACCAGAACCCCGAAGCTGTAAAAGCCCGTCTGCAGCTTCAAACACAGGTTTCTCCGTTAAGCACCGGGGCTGCGGGACTCGCGGAGGTGAGAGCAGCAGGTGAGGGTGGAGTGCAGCCGGTGGGCCAGGCTCGGGGAGGAGGCCGCTGCAGAGGAGGCCCTGGCAGCAGAGACCTCCGGGAAGGTAAGGAGGGCGGGAGGCAGCGCCCAGCTCCGAAGCCGAGAGCAGACTGCAGACCAGGAAGCAGCAGCCCTGGACGCCCCCTAATGTCCGAAGGGCATCAGTGATGCGGGCCGCACGGTGGACGGAGAGATGGCCCTGGGGCTGGTCCAGGGACTCCTTGATTTTCACCTGGTTCCAGGTCCAATCTCCGCCGCATCACCTGTTGGGGGTGAAGGTGAGGGTTGGGGGGGGGGGGGACTTCGGCTCCCTACGTGCAGTTTCTAAAGCGTCAGCCCACAGCTGCTTTAGGGCATTTATTCCAGAAGCAGAGAAGGGACAGCTTAACAGAGACGGGTAAGGATGAGGGCCAGGCTGGGCCCGGCAGCGAGAGACACAAATTGTGGCCTCCAAGGCTGGCCAAACGCTCCCAGCCCTTCCAGCGCACAAGCAGCCCCACCCAGGACCAACTGGACAGCGAGAGGAGTGGAAACCTCAGGTTAAAAATACCCAGTTGGGTGTAAAGAGAAAGAACAGGAAGGAAGTGTGGGGAGGCAAGGCAGACTAGACAAAGAGTCTCTGAGAGGGAGATGTTAGCCATGGCCGGAAGCTGCGCAGGTAGACCAGGTAGGGAGCGGCCTCCAGGTGCCTGGGGGCTGCCGGGCAGGGAGTGGGGTCATGGGCATGGTTCAGGCGGCCCCTCCCAGAGAAATGACTCGGGCCACTGAGACCAGGAGTCCCATCCCCTCGATGCCTCTTGGAATGAAGTGGGCCGTCAGAGGGCTTCCCTCTAGGACAGTGGTTCTCAACCTTCTGGCCCTTGAAATACAGTTCCTCATGTGGTGACCCAACCATAAAATTATTTTCGTTGCTACTGGAATCATCATGTAAACATCTGATATGCAGGATGGTCTTAGGCGACCCCTGTGAAAGGGCCGTTCGACCGACAAAGGGGTCCGACCCACAGGTTGAGAACCGCTGCTCTAGGAGGTAGGGTGCGGGTGACCGGAAGGGAGCCTGCGTGCCTGTCATTCTCTCTTGTGGGGGAGATGGGGGAAATGGGGGGAGGAGGGGTTCCTAAGCCAGCAGACCCTCAGCCCTGGGCCGGGTGGCAGGTTTCAGCTGGTCTTGGGAACAGCAGCCACCTCGGGGTGGAAGGGAGAGCAGCGGGAAGGCTGAATGAGGGGGCACAGCACTGTCCCTGTCGTGGAGGTTAGGGTCCGAGCTCTGGGCCCAAGATGCCGAGTTTGACTCCCAACTCTGTCCCTTACTAGCTGCACGACCTTGGACCATCACGTGACTCCCCTGTGCCTCAGTTTCCTCATCTGTAAAGCGGAGGAGATGCCAGTAGCGCTGAGCTCACGGCCCTGTGGTGAAGATTAAGTGAGTGACTATATCCAGTAGCGGTTAGTTCGTAGCTTTCTAAGTGTTAGCTATGGGGATGGAGTAGGGCGCAGGGCAGGTGGTGGGTGGAAAAGAAGTTCCTAACACCTCATGTCAACCAACAGCCCTTCACAGAGAGCCTGCCCCCCTCCCCTGCACCCCTCCCCTCCCCCCTCCCCCCCAGGTTAGGAGGGCACGGAGGAAGGAGGGTATAGAGGGAAATAAAACACTGGCTCAAGTGTTCAGGGACCAGTATCTTAAGGAGGATCCCAACAACTAAACAATCCCATGTCAGCGTAAGGGGGGAGAGTTCCCTACCCAGCGCTAGGGTACAGAGGGATGGAGCCACTTTCTCTGTCCTCAGAGCTTGGAAGGCGCCAGGGAAACTGGGCTTAGAGGTTGTCACGGATTCAGCAGGCCGAGAAGAGAAACCACAGAAGAGGGCTGTCCTAGCATGAGGGAGCATGGTACCCGAGGTGGTGGCTCTGGGGGGTTGGCTGAGGGTGACCCTTGGGAAAGGCGAGTCGGCCGGCCTTGCAAGCACTGCCAACAGTTCTCGCTCTGTCCTGTAGGCAGGAGGCCAACGGAGAGACTAGGAATGGGAAACCCAATCAGACTTGTGTACTTGGAAGTTTTCTCTGGCAAAATGTGGAGAGGAAATGAGATCGGAAGAGCTTGGCGGCAGGGAGCCAATGGCCCGGCAGTGGTCAGGGCCAGGGGGGACCCTTAGAAAGTGGACTCATTTGGGAAAATGACGAGGAGGAAGGAGCGAGACCGACTCTGTGGCTTCCAGTCTGAGTAATGGAGCGTTTAGTGGTGTCTTTCATGGAAACAGAGAACGGAGGGAGGTAAGTGGACTTTATAAAGAGGGTTTTAGAGGAGAGGTGAGCTGGCTGAGAGAGCCAGGAGGGCCCTGAAGATGTTAGAAATGGTAGGTACAGTGACAGAAATGAGGACTCCCTTTGGATGAGTCAAGAAAGCTTCCTCTCATTTTAACCTGTGGATAGACACTGAGATGGGGGCCATGTGTGACATGGAATGTTCCAGAGGGACCCCTGGATGTGCCCCAGAGGGGTGGACAGGGCTCCGTCACTCTTCTGTTTATGGCTAGAAAATCGCAGTGTCACAATGTACATTGCCTGGTACAATGACATTATGGACTACCAGAGGCCCGGTGCACGACATTCATGCACTGGGAGGAGGGGTCCCTCAGCCCAGCCTGTGCCCTCTCACAGTCCGGGACCACTTGGGGGATGTTTGCCTGCCACGGAGGCGGGAGAGGTTCTCACCACCTCCGCTGCACTCGCCAGCCGTGAGCCCTGCTTCTGGCTGAGCAGTGCTCCCCCTGTGGAGCACACTAACCACCAGAGGGCAGCTCCTGCATTGAGCATCTGCCCCCTGGTGGTCAGTGTGCTTCATAGCAAACGATTGTTCCGCTGTCCAGTTGATTTGCATATTAGCCTTCTATTATATAGGACTAGGGGCCCGGTACACGAAATTCGTGCACTGGGTGTGTGTGAGGGGGGAGGAGTGTCCCTCAGCCCAGCCTGCCCCCTCTCACATACTGGGAGCCCTCAGGCGTTGACCCCCATCACCCTCCAATCGCAGGATCGGCCCCTTGCCCAGGCCTGACGCCTCTGACAGAGGCGTCAGGCCTGGGCAGGGGACCCTCATTTCCCCCCATCACTGGTTCTGCCCCCAGCCCAGGCCTGATGCCTCTGGCCCAGGTGTCAGGCCTGGGCAGGGGACCCCCAGACCCCTCCGATTGCTGGCTCTGCCCCTTGCCCAGGCCTGATGCCTCGGCCAGAGGCGTAGACCCCCATCACCCTCCGATCACCTAATCGGCCCCTTGCCCAGGCCTGATGCCTCCGCCAGAGGTGTCAGGCTTGGACAGGGGACTCCCCATCTCCCCCCGATCACTGGCTCTGACCCCCACCCAGGCCTGAGGCCTCTGGCCCAGGAATCGTGCCTGGGCAGGGGACCCCCATCTCCCTCTGATCGCTTGCTCCACCCCCGCCCAAGCCTGACGCCTCTGACCCAGGCTTCAGGCCTGGGCAAGGGGACCATCATATCCCTCCAATCCCCGGCTCCGCCCCCCGCCCAGGCCTGATGCCTCGGCCAGAGGAGTTGACCCTCATCACCCTCCGATCACCAATCACCGGATCGGCCCCTTGACCAGGCCTGAGGCCTCCAGCAGAGGTGTCAGGCCTGGGCAGGGGATCCCCAGCTCCCCGCGGTTGCAGGCTCCGCCTCTGCCCAGGCCTAACACCTCTGGCCGAAGCATTAAGCCTGGGCAGGGGACCCCCCAGCTCCCCGCAGTTGCAGGCTCCGCCCCTGCCCAGGCCTAACGCCTCTGGCCTAGGCGTCTGGCCCGGGCAGCGGGGACCCACAGCTGCAGCGGCCCCGCGATCGTAGGGTCCGCTTTAGGCCCAGGCAAGGGACCCCTAGCTCCCGGGACTGCCAGCTTCGACCGTGTCCAGCTCCCATCGCTGGCTCCACCCCTACTTCCTGCTATCACTGGCCAGGGTGGCAAAGGCGCCTGATTCTCTGATCATGGCTGGGGGGCAGGGCAAAGGCAGCCCAGGACCGCCTTTGCCCTGCCCCCCACCTCTTAGCTCCCCCCTGGGTTTCCGATCACTGTCAGTGGCAGGGGGCTTCTTCCTGCTTTCCCTTTCACCTTCCTGCATTGTGCCTACATATGCAAATTAGCTGCCATCTTAGTTGGCAGTTAATTTGCATATAGCCCTGATTAGCCAATGAAAAGGGTAGCGCCGTATGCCAATTACCATTTTTCTCTTTTATTAGTGTAGACTAGAGGCCCAGTGCATGAAATTCATGCACTGGAAGGGTCCCTAGCAGTGCTGGCCAGGGCCTCCCTCCCTTCCCTCAGCCGCCTGCCGCTGCTGCCAGCCAGGGCCTCCCTCCCTTCTCCCGGACGGCCCCACCCCTGGTTGAACTCCCAGACAACTGTCAGTTGAGGGGTCAATTTGCATACTACACTTTTATTATAGAGGATATTATCTAACTTGACCTAAATTCACCTTCACAAAATGCATAATGGGGTTAAGAATATTCCTGCATGCCCTACCTGGTTTGGCTCAGTAGATAGAGCGTCAGCCTGCAGACTGAAGGGTTCTAGGTTCGATTCCAGTCAAGGGCACATTCCAGGTTGTGGGCTTGATCCCTGGTAGGGGGCGTGCAGGAGGCAGTTGACCAATGATGCACGAATTCATGCACGGGTGGGGGCCAGCTGGCCTGCCCTGATGGGAGGTGATCAGGGGCCGGGTTGGCTGTGGGAAGGGGCCATGGGAGGTTGGCTGGCCAGCCCCACCCCCAATTGTGGGGTGGGGGCAATCAGGGGGCCAGGCTGGCCGGGGAGAGTTGCTGCAGGAGGTTGGGGGGGCCAATTGGGCTGGTTGGCTGCTGCAGTGTGTGTCATAGTGACCAGTCATTCTGGTCGTTCTGTCATTCCGGTCGCTTGGCTTTTATATATATAGATGTACTGGTATGTGTGTGTGTGTGTATGTATATATATATATATATGTATGAAAATTCCTGCATAGAAAACTGCAGATTAAAGGTCACCCAAATTCAGCAAGCATTAGTTCATGAGAAAAGGGCAATTCCGGCTCTAGCTTCTCACACGAGCTCTTCATCAGCCCCACCCTGAGGTCTAAACAGTGGCCATCTGATCAGGTCTCACATGATGATGACCACAACCTTTTTTTTTTTTTTTTTGTCATTTGTAATGGCCAAGGCGGCTATCTGAAACGTGAACTTGCACTCCCATCATTCTTAAAAAGCAAACCTCACCCAGAGTGTACCCTGTGCTTGAGATACTAATGACAGTAGCCCATGCAGACAGTTTGTAAATAATTGAGCATATATTAAGGGGGCCTGCTCAACTTTTATCACTGATGCGATGTAACTGCTCAGTGTGGGAGCTCTCATCTCCCACAGGATTTGATTTGGGCAAAAATTCTTTAGTCACAGGCTTTGGGTCCCAGGGAAGGAACTGGTTTCCTACTTTATCAGGCCTCTGCATCTGAAATGCCATGCATTGCAGTTACCTCCTAGAACAAAGGGTGCTTGTATTCTAGAGCGTGGCCGCAATGGCGCTCTTTCATCGCCTTGGTCCTTCTCTTCCTCCTGGAATGAGGGAATGGCAAGCTGAGCTCCCTGGAGAAAAGTATTAAGTAAATACAAGGTGTTGCCAACGTTATTGTTACGATTATTACAAACACTATAAGGCAGCGGTGGAGAATGCCACTCCATGGGGTTCTCACAAGGAGCCAGGTGAGAGGTTCTAAACACATCCACCACTCATCCCTGCTACCACAGGAACCCAAGGGCCTTCTGGGGGATGCGTCCTATGGGGCATGGAGGCTGCCGGAGCTTAAACAAACTGAAGCCCCCAAGAGTGGGACTGCCATGCTCTGAGGAGGACAGAGCGCAGCTCCTGCTATTCAGAGCCCAAGATCGGACTGGACCAGTGACTAGTGAGAGCATTCCACGTGTCAGCCCAGGAGCCAACGCCTCACCGGAGACTTTGCCACCTTCACCCGCTACCGCAGAAGCTGGGGAGAACACACACACATAACATTTTACATTAAAATAATTATTTTTTGGCCTAGCCGGTTTGGCTCAATGGATCTATCCATGCTCTACATGGGCCTGCGGACCAACAGGTCCCAGGTTCAGTTCTGGTCAAGGATAAGTACCTTGGTTGCAGGCTCCTCCCTGGCCCAGGTGGGTGCAGGAGGCAACCAATTGATGTGTTTCTCTCACATCGATGTTTCTCTCTGTCTTTCCCTCTCTCTTCTACTCTCTCTCTAAAAAAAAAAAAAAATCAATGGAAAAAATATCCTCAGGTGAGGATTAACCAAAAAAAAAAAAGAATTGGAAATAATTAAAAAATTATTATTATTATTTTTACTTTGTCAAAGCACATGTATGTGGAGAAGTTAATAGGAGGCCCAACACGAACTTATTGAGCATGTGCCCTGTGTACAGGTGCTATACGAGTCACCACGGAGACAGCCGTGGACAGACCTGGCGGCACGCTGGCGGTGCCGTGGGCCAGGTGAACTACGCACATAGGCACCGCATGTGGGCTTGAGAGATCCAGACAAAGAGATGCCGACATTCCGAGGACGAGGGTCAGGCACAGTCATGGAGGTGCTGACCTCTGGCCTGGGCCCTGAGGGCGGGAGAGCCTGGCCAGGTGGAGAGGGAGGCAATGGCCTCCCAGAGAAGGATCAAAGCCCCAGCCTGGAAAAGCATGGGAGGTGTATGACCATCAGGGAGAAACACTCCCAGCTGGCATCCAGAAGGCGAAGAAGAGGAGTGGGCATGGAAAGGTGGGCTAGAAACCGACTTGCCCGGCCAGCGTGGCTCAGTGGTTGAGTGTCAACCTATGAATCAGGAGGTCACGGCTCGATTCCCCGTTGGGGCACATGCCCGGGGTTGCCAATCAATGATTCTCTCTCATTGTTGATGTTTCTCTCTCTTTCTCTCTCCCTCTCCCAAATCAATGAAAACATAGACATTTTTTTAAAAAGAAAGAAAAGAATCTACAGGGTCCAGAGTTTATCTTCAGCGAGGGATGAGGAGCCTTGGAAAGTGTGGGGCAGGTGAGGCAGTGAACCCCGAGCAAATCAAAACAAAACTCACTCAGGGCCCGGTGATGCGTTAGTCTGTGGCCCAGCCAGGACCTGAATTCGGATTTGTACTGGCACAGGCAGGCTCCTGGACCGCACACTGGCCAGGCAGAGACGGGTCCTGGGAAGGCGCCCCAGGCCAGGGGCGGGCAGACGGCTTTTCTGGGAAAGCCCGCAGCCCGAGTTTCCAAGTCCGAGGACGTCCTGCCCTGCGGCCGGCTTGGGCCTGGTTGGGCTGAATCTTCCCATGGAACTGGGTGGTGGACGGGCTGCGGTGCTTGGGAACCCAGATGGGTTGGGCTGGGAATGGCAGAGTGTGGGATCGAAGCAATAAAAGGAAGGGAGAGGAGCCTGTGGAGTGTCCTGGGGTGTGAGGCGCAGGGCGTGGGGCCTCGCATTCCTGGATGGTTAGGACGCCGAGGCTGATGATTATCATTATTATTCCTGCTCCGGCTTCGCTGAGCTTTCATCCTGCAGGACCCTGCCTTGCTGGCCCGGCTTTACCTACGAGCAAGGCCTCCTGGGGTGGGGCGGGGCCGACAGCTTCTGGCCACAAGGAACTCAACGCGACTGGGTTGCTTCCCTAGTTTGCTCAGGAAACTTCCAGAAGCTGAGCACCTTCCTAACCCTGGAAGCATGGGCATAATTTCTCAAGGGGCAAACGGAGGCACCGAGCCAGGGAATGATCTAAGCAGGGTCCTGGGAGAGACCCCTCCCTCCTCTATTCGCCATACCATGCCTATCCTTCCCAACTGGGGCAGATCTTGTCAGCCTGGAGGGGAGCCAGGGAAGGGGTAGAATCTAGAAGAGAGAACTGGGCTGGAGCCAGGACAGCAGAGCTGGTACCCTCCTTTCCTACCAGCCGCTGTGGGCATCATGAGGTCAGTCTCTTGGTTGCGCGTCTCTCTGGAAGGTCCTGCCTTCTGGGTGGGCTTCCTCCAGCCCCCGAGGGAGGCCAACGCTGCAGACATGCAAAGTGCAAAGCTCTCTCGCATCAGAGGCCACAGACCGGGTCTTGCAGAGATGGGCCAGGCCCAGGGACAGCGGGCCAGGCAATGGCTCAGAGGCAGGGAATGGTGTGTGCGTGTGTTTCTGTGTGCGTGCAATTGCTAACTCCAGGCTTCCAGCGGTGACATGTCCATGCTTGCCGAGATGAGATCAAAGACCAGAAGGAAAGGTGAACAACAACCTGGTGGCTGGGTGGGGGGCTCAGTGGAATCCTGCAAAACATACTCCTCTCTGGCAGTGGGAAGCCCAAGGAGAAAGGGTGGGGGGCGGTGGCCCGACAGGCTGCAGGCTGAGACCCAGCCTGTGATTGCCCGAGTCACCTTCCCCACTATTGCTGTCCACCCAGAGAGCAGCAATCTTCAGGAACGTCTTCCGGCAGGAAACAGAGGTGGGACAACACGGAAGGGTAGGCTGAGGAAGCCGGAGCAGACAAAACAGTAAACAGAGCTTCTCAGAGGCCTCTGTAAGCTCTCACATCCTCAGTGCCTCCCAGAGCCTGCCCGCCAGCCGAGCATTCGTTCATGAAGCTTTTACGAAGCAGCTACTATCTGCAAGGCAGTCTGCCTGGAGCTGTGGGTGTAGGTGCATAAGACATGGTCTCTGCCCTCGGGGGGCACTCCCTGGAGAAAAGCCAACTTTCCCTTTCGGTTTCGCCTGGCTCCACACAGCATACCACCTCCCGAGGCATCTCCTCCCTCCCTGGACGTGTCCGTCCCTGACTGCACTGGCCCCTGCCTCTGTTCCCGCCGCCGGCTCTCTGAATTCTCCCAGAAGCAACACTCACTAGAATTCCTGCTGCTATCTTGATGTTCAGCCCCCAAAGGCATCTCTGGAGCTTACCCCTGCGATTAGGCCACGCCAAGACGCACTGGTCCTCAGTGACTCCGCCCGTCTGCCTTCTCTTACTGGTGACCCCGAGAGCCTGCCGTGTGGCTCCCTGTTGCTGATCAGATGCCATTTGAACTTTTGGCCTATTTTCCAGGGCCCTCCCAGCACGTTTCTAGCTCTGATTGTTATGACTACCCCACAGTGTCCCTCCCCATCCCTGGGATCCCAGCATTCATAACGTAACTGTACATCTGACCAAGGGGAAGAGCTCTGTTAAGGGGATCACTTCCACATTTACAGCTGACTTATTCCACCAATATTTCATGAACAGCTGCTGCGTCCCAGGCGCCGTGACAGGTACTAAGACATCTCTGATGGCGACGAGAACAGACGTGCCGCCTGCCCCGGGGGAGCCCGTGCACCAGCAGGCGGGAAACACACTAATAATGAAAATGGAATGGGGTGCGTGGTAAGACTGGATGACCATCGGGGTCCCTGAGAGGCTGGGCACTCCCATGAAAGCTACATAGACCTCTTTCACTTCCTGCCTGCATTCTTCACAGAGCCAAGCATGCCTCGCTGGGAGGAACAGAGAACGTTCCAACAGGATGTCCCCCCAAAAGGCACCAGCCCCCAATCTGTTCTCCCTGGGCGAGGCCCCTCCCTCCCCAAACTCAGCCTCCTAGGGAAGTGGCACAGGACGAAGAGCCTCGGAAGTCCACCCAGCCGGGCCGGCATGGCTCAGCGGTGGAGCGTGGACCCATGAACCAGCAGGTCACGGTTTGATTCCCAGTCAGGGCACATGCTCCAGTTGTGGGCTCAATCCCCAGTAGGGGGTGTGCAGGAGGCAGCCAAGGGATGTTTCTCTCTCATCAATGTTTCTACCTCCCTTTCCTTCTCCATTCCTCTCTCTTTAAAATTAAAAAAAAAAAATTTTAAATCATATTTAAAGGAACCTAAGAATTCCACATGCAAACAAACGCTTTGGACAATGACATGGAGAAAAGGCGCCTCCCCGTTTCCCCACGTTGGAAATGACAGGGCTCGCAATCTCGCCAGCAGCAGCCGCCCTGTTGGGCGTTAATACTCCTCTGTCCTCTGACGACATTGCCCAGGGCAGATCATGTGTCCTCCCGTGTCTCACTTTGAAACTTGTCCGTGGATGAAGGTTCTGACACCTCAGGCCGCTGCTGGATGTTGAGTCAGCATTTAACCACTATAATTGGTAGAAACGTCTCCCCACTGTCTGACGAGCCGGGATCTGCACATCCCACCCTCCTGCTCGCCCGCCGCCCTCTGCGGGAACGTTACCAATATTCCCTACTCCGAATGCTCCTGAAAGACTCCACAAAACGGAAATGGAAAGGCCTTTGGATCGGATGCCCCTCATTCTCTCTAAATGTCAACATCCCGGGTGGAAATTTTTTAGAGCATGTGATACAAGGGAGAGAGGGAGAGAGCGCTCCAGCGTGCCTGAACGCGGCCTCCTGGGCCCTCTCCTGGGTGGGCTTCTCTCCCACCAGGGGCCTCTGTCACCTGGGGTGCCACTCATCGTCCTGGGCCTGGAATGGGCCCTGGAACTGGCCTGTGCTCCCGAAGTGCAGGGGGAAAACGTTCCTTCGTAGGTGCCTTCTTAGGTTCCTTTTTAGGTAAAAGAGAACGTGGCTTGAGCTGTAAAATGGGAGCAGCATTAGAGACATAAAATTTTCAAAGGCTGCTGCCCTAGGTTTGTGGGGGTTTCCTAAATCAAGGGACAAATCATTACGCCAGACAGAATTTCTCTCTCTTTTTCTTTCTGTCTCTCTCTCTGTCTCTTCCTCCCTCCAACCTCCTTTCTTCCTTTCCTTCCTTCCTTCCTCTCCATACCTACCCCTCCCACCCGTTTCTCTCTCCAGAACCTAAAACAGCGAGTCCCTACAGAAGGATGTCTTGTCCCTGCTCTAAAGCCACCTCCTGAACGCCTTTCTCTTCTCTTTTTCAGCCTCAATTCCACCCTCTTTTCCAAGCTGAGCTACCGTCTAACGCCTTTCATGCAGCCCTTCCCATCTAGTCAATCTCTGAATTCCATTAAACTCTGGGGCTCCGTGTGATTACGCAATGTCTCGTGTTCCCCAGCGGTTCTGTGTGCATGCGTGTTGTCTCCTCAACCAGGTTGTGAACTTTCAGAGGCCAGAGGCCGGAGTCCCTCCGCACACTGGACACAGAACTGGGAACATCAGGGGCCTTTATAGAGACCTTCATTGCCTTTCACTTCCCATGAGACATCAGAGAATTCACACAGAAAACAAAATTCATAAGTGTAATAAACGTGAATAAGCCTTCATTTGGGTGGAGTAACCACCTTATACAACATCAGATAATAATTCCTACTGGAAAGAACCCTGTGCCTGCACCTGAGGTGTCCATGGGAGAGCCCTCGGGGCGAGTTGGAAGCTGGGAAGGTACACCTGACTCAGTGTCATGGAACTCGATTACGTGAGTGCAGTGGCTGTGGGGGAGCCTCCCGTCAAGATGATCTCCACATCGGTGTGTGCACGTGAGAGGGAACCCACGAGTCTGAAGGATGTGGGAAAGCCTCCCCCAAGACCTTCGTCCACCAGAGGATTCACCCTAAAAAGCAGTGTAGACGTGGGGGTGCAATGGGGTGGGAGGCGGACGTGGCGCCTGCCCCGGGGAAGAACTGAGACTTGGAGAGGAAGTGTGACGTACCGTGGGTACAACTGGAACATTACCAAACTCTGACTGGCGCCTTTTTCTTTTTTTGGCCTTGAAACACTTCCATGTCGGATTGCCTTTGTCATCATCTCTCCCTGGGGAAAGGAAGGGATGGTTTCCCCAGTGCTTGTTATGGACGGAGAATTGGGCTGGAGAGGCTGTGTCACTGGTCCAGGGCCCGCTGACAGTCGGGATAAGAGCTGTAGTCTCTGGGGACCTTTATTTATTATATATATTTGATTTTCTACAGAGAGGAAGGGAGAGGGACAGAGAGTCAGAAACATCGATGAGAGAGAAACATCGATCAGTTGCCTCCTGCACACTCCCCACTGGGGATGTGCCTGCAACCAAGGCACATGCCCTTGACCGGAATCGAACCTGGGGCCCCTCAGTACACAGGCCGACGCTCCATTTACCGAGCCAAACCAGTCAGGGCTGGGGACCTTTATTTGATGTGCCAGGGACTGTGCTAGTGCTAAGGGAGACGCAAGGTCTAAAGAGAGGCTCCATGCCCTCAAATGGCTTATTGTCCCAGGAAGGAACAGTTGGGCCCTTATCACATGGACCTGCTTTAACAGGAGTGCAATTGAAGTGCCGCAGAGGAGCAGGAAAGGAGCCCTAAGTTCCTCGAGGGAAAAGCAGGAAAGACTTCACAGAGGAGGTGTTATTTGAGCTGAGCTGTAGAAAGGATGAGGAATTTGCCAGACAAACACGTGAGCAGAGGGTGTTCAGGTGGAAGAAACAGCACATACAAAGGCATGGGAATAAGAGAGGGCGTGACCTGTTGAGGATCCTGGAGAAGTTCTGTGGGTAAAGACTGGGGTGGGGGAGAGGGGAGGGGGCAGTTAGGCAGATAACAGAAGGCCCTTGAATGCCTTGTAAAGCAGTTCAGATTTCCCTTTAGGCAATAAGGATTTCGTTTCCCGATGCTGCTGTAACAAATTACCACCAATTTAGTGGCTTAAAGCAACACGGATTTCTTCTCTAACAGTTCTGGGGGTCAGAAGTTTCAAATCAAGGTGTGGGCAGGTGGTGTTCTCTCCGGAGGCTCTGAAGCAGCTATGCGGTCCGCCAGGGAGCCAGTTAAAGACCTGGTGACCCACGCACCCAGGGTGGGCATGAGTGCGCCTACCAGCGTCGGTGGGCACCTGGGTCTGGGTCTCCCGCTTCCCTAATACATCGTTGGCCATCTTCTCTGTCTCCCATTCCCAGTACCAAGGAATGTGAAGCAATCAAAGTATTTCTCTCCTTCCTATTGCATCTTTATCTAAGAAACTCCAGAGGAGTTAGGGTGAATCTCCTGGTGGTTTTACCTGCAGGTAGCGTTGCCAGATAAAATAGAAGACATCCAGTTAAATTAGAATTTCAGATCAACCATGAATAACTTGAGTCTGTCTCAAATGTTACGATATTTTTAGTACTACTTTGTTAACCAGATTACTCTTTGATGCAATCTACAAGGTTGACTGGTATTCAAGCCCTGAAAATCCCAGTGCCTTCTTACAGGTAACTTTCTTTGCACAGTAGTAACCCAGGGAAGGAAGGCAGGCTTTGGCTCTAGAGAGATGGCGGGTTTCAGAACGATGAGGACTGGTCCCTCTTATTTCACTGTCATGAATGGTGATGGCTCTTCAGCCCTGACAGAGATCTTTCTGCTGCCCAGCTCTACGATTCGTTCCAGCTCAGTTCTTGCTCTGGATCTCGCCTGCCCATCTGTTTAAGCACACTGAAATCTTTTTCTTTTTCTTTTTTTAAAGGTGCTATACAATGCTGTCTTTGATCTTGACTAGGGATGATGATGAAGACTTTCATCATCTTTGAGATGCAGGTGACAGTGTGATTTTGAATCGAATGTGTAAAGTTTGCAGTAACCACTGTTACAGGAAACACAAACGCAAGAACAGTTGAAATCTGAAGGCTAGTAACTGTTGGCACTGGGGTTCGAGGAAGACTTTGGCTCCCAGGCTCCATCCCATGTGACTCCCATTCTAGAATGACCCTCCTCTTTTTACTTCCCTGAACCCCTCCTTCGAAATTTCCCTTCTTGGTCGGGGGGTGAGGAGGGGGTAGGAGGTGGGGATGGAGACCTGAGATCCTTCCATGTACCCTATCTTCAGGCCAGGGCTCAATCCTCCCAGCTAGAGCTTCACAAACACGGTCACTTCATGGTCATCTCCGGGCCACTCTCTGATGCAGCACGTGGCTCCGTCTGGTGCTCTCAGGCAGGACCTGAGTGTTCACATCAAAGTTGTGTAGATACTGGTGGTGGCCGATTTCCACATTTCTGAACTTATCCCTTTTACGCACTATTTTCTAAATGCAAAAGATTATAACAGTTCATGAAGCCCTAAGAAACCCTGGTTTGTACGGCTCTGTCAGTGAACTCACCCGCCCAGCCAATGGCAGCAGGCCGAACTGAATCCTCTTGCACCTCCAAGACTTCTAGAAAAAAGGTGGCCCTCCGGGGCCTGGGGAACTAATGACTTAATGCCTACAAAGCCCTAGAAACAACTTACTGCAGATAAGGTCTCATTATGGTTAATTGTTATTATTATTGTTGTGATTGTTCTCAGCCCAGCTCCTATGAAAGGCTGCCACAGCTCCGCTACAGACCTCAGGTCAGGGGTTTAATTAATACCTCCACTGAATGCCAGAGGCCCCAGGCACCATGTTGCCGCCCCCACATCCACGTCCTATCTCCCCTGAGCCCCGCCCACAGGGTCCTTTCCACCCTGGAATCTGCCCAGTTTCTACCTGAGTGGCTCCATCATGCTTCACTCCTGCCAACAGCTCCCCCTCCCAGCCCAGACCCCAGCTCTGCACCTTTCTCCTCCCTTCTCTGCCCCTCGCCCACAATCTCACCTCCCTCCTTTGATTTTGCCTTCTCTTTCCTGCAGTTTCCTAGCCCCCGCAACACGTCTTAGGGTGGTGGCCAAACAGTTCTCAGGAGCCAAGCCTTTGGGGGGGTCATGAAAACTAAGAGAGGGTTCCCTGCGCCCCACCTTTCTCCCTTTCAGTCCCCGCTTCCCAGGTCTCCCACCCCACCTTGGTGAACTTGGGGATTGTTCCTTAGGTGGTGAGGCCGGTTGGGTGGGTTGGCTGGTTTAGGGTTACGAAGTCTGGCACTAACTCACAGCCCCGTGCAACTGCCTTCTTTAATTAATTAACACCAATTTTTACAAAACCATCTCTTCCATTGGACCTCAGTACATGCCTCTGGGGCATATGTCACCTCAATTACAGACAACAATTAAGCGTGCTGCTGTAAAGAATCGGTGAGCCTCTTTAAAGACTCAAACACAATTAGGGCCTGACTACCTTAGAGCAGTGTGGTGCAGACAGAGCCTGAGGCAGGATCTACCCCCTCTTCTACCCCCTCACACACACTCCCACACACCCCAGGAATTGGGCTGCAGCGGTACACTTAGAGAGGATGCTCTGCTAGGCCCCTGCCCTCAGCTGCCCACACCCTAACCCAGAAAGCTAAGCTGTTGCAAGTGGGGTGGTGGCCTCACTTCACTAGTACCAATGTCCCTCAGATTCCAAAGCCCACCTCCCCACTGTCCTCACTGGCCATCTTGCATGAATAAAGATGAATCCAGGCCCTGGAACAATAAGACAGGGACTGAGTTGATCTTTCTTTCTATCAGTAAAGATGGTATATGCAGGGTTACCTGATGGTTTTGCAGTGGTTTGAATTAGGAAAATGGTTGAAGATGTTTCTTTTCTTTTTTTTTTTAATCCTCACCCTAGGGCATTTTTTCCCATTGATTTCTGGAGAGAGTAGAAGGGAGGGAGGAGGGGAAGAGAGAGATGGAAGAGAGAGAGGAGTGGGGAGAGAGAGAAAAAAACATCAATGTGAGAGAGACACATCAACTGGTAGCCCTAGCTCTAATCCTAACCCTGACCTGGGGTGCGGAACCTGCAACCTGGAGACCCAGGGTTTAGTTCCTTTCATGTGACCCTTCAAATCCAGACCCCATCTGTTGAAAAAAAAAATAGGGGGAACAACATTTTTCTGCCCTTCCTCCTTCCTGTGGAGGGAAGGATTAAATGGGGTAATGCAAAAGGAAGATTTGTAGAAATTGTCATATAAATATGGTTTTTAAAAAATTATCAAATGCATTTTGAGGAACATTTGAGAGCTCATTCCCCAGCACATGTTGTCAGTTTGGCTCAAATAAACTCATAAAAATTTTCTCTAAAAGAAAAAAAAAAGCATTTTGATGATAAGTTCACCAGAGTAATCAAAATCCAAACTCTGGGATGCTTCAAACGGAGAAGCTGATAAAAGAAACTGTAGCTGTGAACCCCATGACAGCCCCGGCCATGCATGTTGCAGTTAAAACAAGCTTGAGGCCCAGGCGACACTGGCTGTCCCAATAGCCCCGCTCATGTCTATCCCCAGGGCGGAACACAGCCGGCCTTTTAGTGCATCCTTCCTTTTTCTTCTAGGGCATTCTGGCATTTAACTTTTCACTAGAATTCAAGTAGGGGTGGTGGGCGGTGAGGGGCACAGAGTGAGGTGAGGTGAGAGGGACACATCGAATGGTAGCCCTAACCCTAACCCTAACCCTGACCCTGACCCCGGGTGGGGAACCTGCAACCTGAAGACCCAGGTTTTATAGTTCTGGTCATGTGACCCTTCAAATCCAGATCTCATCTGTTCAAAACAAATAGTGGGAACAACACAGAGGCCCAGGGCCCATACCCCTCTAGTTTGCATGCATATGAGTACATGCGTGTGCGTATGCATCCAAACCCCACGACAGAAAAGCCAAAAGCCCAGCTTGTGGCGCTGTCTCTCCACACTGTCCCTCAGAGCCCTGGGAAAAGGTGAATGAAAAGGGGAGTCCAGGACGGCTTTCTCCATTGTGTAAAAGGAGCAGTTCCCTGTGAGAAAGGCTCAGAGATGAGAATCGAGTAGTAATTCTTAGGAAAGGAATTACAAGGTATTAATGAACACGGTCAGCTTTCTAGAGTAGAACCCTAGGTACCCAATCTGGCAGACTCTAAGAACCATGCAATCCCCTCTTTTCACAAAGCTTAAAAGTAAAGTGATTGAGCAAAGGTCACAACACTCAAGTATGCGAGCCTAGGAGACCATGGCCAGGGCTCTGGTCTGGCTCCAAGTCTGGGTGCGGTAGGATGGGGCCATGTAGTTAATGCGTGGGCAGGCTCGCACTGGCCCCTCTATAAGTACAGGTGGTAAGAACTATAACTGACTAAGGGAACATCCCTGGAAACTTGAGGAGCAAAGAAATACAGTGAACAGGGGACTTGTACCAAGCCATCCAGTTCACGTCACAGAGACCAGATAGCTCTGTTGCTCTTTATTTTATTTTAAAATATATTTTTAGTGATTTCAGAGAGGAAGGGAGAGTGAGAGAGAGATAGAAACATCAATGATGAGACAGAATCATTGATCGGCTGCCTCCTGCACACCCCACACTGCGGATCGAGCCCGAAATCCAGGCATGTGCCCTGACCAGGAATCGAACTGTGACCTCCTGGTTCATAGGTCGACACTCAACCACTGAGCCACACTGGCCAGGCAGCTCTGTTACGCTTTAAATGAAATTTCTGAAGGTTTTTAGGACTGTCAACGTGTACAGAACTTTTTCCTAAAACTTTTTAATTAAAAAAAAAAAAAATGGGTTCTGCTGGTTTCTGACCACTGCCTTCATGAGAATGTTAATGGAGAATTCTACCCATGGCCAGAAAACCAGCTGACAGAAGTTTGATCTCCCAACAGTGCCAGGGGTGGGTGCTAACTGTTGTCTGCCATGACTGCTAAGCTGCAGTGCCAGCGCTGAAGAAGGGAGGCACTGAAATTAGTAGTCTGACTAAGAGCAAATGCCCTCTTCTTGTGACATGTCAAGTGATGACACTGGTTGGCAGCCCCCTTCTCTTGGTAGGTGTGTGAAGGGGAGGAGTTAAGAGAGAGCAAAGGAAATAGAATCTCCTTGCTAGCCCTGAGGCCCAAGGCCTTCCAAAGCACCAATCACCAAGGGTTCAGATACACGGAGGCAAGTCCCAGGGTCCTAGAGAGAGAAAGAAGGGGGAGGCGGGCATTGGATAAGGGAGATGTGGATGTTGAACGGAATATTAGAATTACTCTCCACCAAATGCCAAGGCTGCCTGTTTTTACTACAGAGGAATACGTAGCCGTTTTTCAGAACGGGCCTGTTAAACCCTCTGAAAGAACAGAAAGTGATGAACCTGGGTCTTGTTCTGGCTCCATTGTGTACTGGGCTGGGTGGCTTCGGCTGCACTATTAAACATTCCTTGGCTTGAACATCCTTCATTGGGAACAATACCTGCCCTGCCTGCCTCACAGGGTTTCTGGAAGATCTGATGAGATAATGAACCCAACCTCCCTGAAAAAACACCATAAAGCACTCCTCACACAGAAGGGAAGAATATTACTTACTGTTCTAATTACCAGGAGCCCGTCAGAGCGTTGGCCTGTGGGCGGAGAGTTCTAGAGAATGGAAGGTCACCTTGTTTCTTTAGCTGTCACTCTGCACCCCATCTCTTCCAGGCAGGACAGCCCTGACAGGGAGAGGGTGGGGAAGGGATCAAGTGTCCCAGAAGGCAAAGCGAGATGTTCTGGGCTCACCAGCCCCCACACATGCCAAGTCCTTTCTCGCATTGGATCTAAGTCTTTCCTTTTACTTCTTCAAGCTTATTTCTCCCTGTTCTACCCACAGATTTCTCTACCTGCTGAAACAGGACATCATTGTTAGTGTTTATCCACTATTGAAGAACATGACCCAAAGTTGCCAAATTACCATTCCTGGGGTCTCGAGTCAAAGTGTAATAAACACCAAGCATCTGCTTTTGGAAGGGACCTTGAAGAACCCCTTTATTTATAAAGTTTCAATGTCTTCCCTAACCTTATCCCAGATTCAGGAGATATATATATATATATATATATATATATATATATATATATATGATGCTATTTTGGGGAGAAGTGGCTGCATCTGTATTAAAACTGTGTGGAGATGTCAGCCTTAGTGCAAGAAAATTTATTAAGTGTGCTTTTAATAATAGGAGGCCCAGCCAGAACGGCTGAGTCGGTTGAGTGTTGTCCTGTGCACTGAAAGGCTGCCGGTTCAATTCCCGGTCAGGGCACTTGCCTGGGTTGCAGGTTCCATCCCTGGTTGGGGCGTGTATGGAAGGCAACTGATCAATGTTTCTCTCTCCCTCGCACTTCTCCCTCCAAAATAAAAAAATATATATTTAAAAAATAATAGGAGAATTACGTAATTAGGATAAGATTTGAAAAACATCAAGCCCCAGCCGTTTTGGCTCAGTGGATAGAGCACTGGCCTGAGGACTGAAGGGTCCCGGGTTCCATTCCGGTCAAGGGCACATGCCTGGGTTTCGGGCTCGATCCCCAGTAGGGGGCGTGCAGGAGGCAGCCAATCAATGATTTTCATCATTGATATTTCTATCTCTCTCCCCCTCTTCCTTCTTCTCTGAAATCAATAAAAATAAATAAAAAGTATTTTAAAAAGAAAAACATCAAGGAAGTTTGGATTATGGTGAGAAAAGGTCAAGATCCTTCAAGTTGCTGTCTCAGGGCTTCTCTTGCCTCCTTCATTTCCCTTCTCTGTACTCCAAGCACCTTCCATTATGGATACCCTCTCTTGGCTCTCAACTGGGATAAGTGCTAACTTGTTAGCTAATAGTAGCATTAATTATATTAATGATTAATAGCTAATTAGTCATAATGCTGTAATGCTTACAATGGAGGCTTCCTTTCTTGCAGCAGCTCTATGTCTCAAGCCCACACACATCCCCTTCCCTATTCCTGGCCATGGAACGGGCGAGCGCCGCTCTCAAACTGTTTTTCACACCATTCTGGCAATCTCTAAATGTCTCCACTTTTTACTGGTTTTTCTCACTCATCTGGCCAGTGATCACACTGCGTATTAGCTTGCCTCCTTTATGTCTGTCTTCTGTCACTCACATCGCCCTTCCTGTCACAAGGAGGCCACGGTCAAGATTTTTTCCTCTTTTTTCACTTTATCTCATAAGCCAAAGGCTCTTCTACTTCTAAGTCTCATTTGGGCTCACTTTTCAACTTTGGCCCCCGCTTTCTTCACTTCGCCTCCGCCTAATCCTCACCCGCCCCCTGTCCTGTCTCGTGCGGTCCCGCACCCCCCGCCCCCAGCTCCCGCCCCCTCGGCGTCTGGGCTTCCTTTCTGCAGCCACGCCCCCAGCCCCCGGGAGGGCGCTGCGCACGCGCAGTGCGCGCCTTTACCTGGGCGCCCGGGAGTGGGCGGAGTGGGCGCGGGCGGGGGTGGAGCGGGGGCCGGCGGTTATCTGGTCGGCGGAGCGCTCACGCGGTGGCGGGAGGGAGAAAAGGTGCACTCGGGCCGGCCCCAGGCCTGCGCATGCGCGCCGCCGCGCCCAGCGGCCGGGATGCCAGGGGGCCGGGCGGAGGGAGGTGTCGGGATCCCTGTTGGGCGGGGGGTGGGGGGGGCCGGCGAGGGACGGGGCCGCGGGCGCGCGCGCGCTCTCGCCGCCGCGCTCCCCTCCTCCCCGCCCCCCGCTCCGCACACACATCCACACGCGCACACCCCCTCCCCTGCCTCCCTCCCCGCGCGCCGCCCGCCCCGCCGGCCCCGCTCGCCCTCGCGCGCTCGGAAGGGAGTCGCGAGACGTCGGAGCGGCGGCCACGTAGCGCTGCGGCGGCGGCGGCGGCGGCGGCCGAGGCCGGGTTTGCGGAGCGGCCCTGAGGACGGACGTTGGGCAGGGGGGAGGGGCCGGCCCGGCCGGCGGTTGTTACTCGAGCACCGCGGCTACAGGGCCCCGCCGCAGGATGGACCGCCGAGGCGGCGGTCGGGGCGGCGGAGGCGGAGGCGGCCGGCCCGGGTGAGTAGGGACCCCAGCCCCCCCCTCCACGCACACGCCGCCGACGCGGCTGCGCCCCGTGCAGCCGTCCGCCTGGCCGGCCGGGGCTCCGGGCGCCGGGGTAACCCTTCGCCGAGGCAGCTGCGTGCACTAGGCCGGAGCAGCCCCCATCCGGCTGGGAGGCCCCGGGCGCTGTGCTCCTCTGGCCCCGCGCTTGGGCCGGGGGCGCCCGCCTCAGCTCCCGGATCCGGGCTGGGCTTCAGTTGTGCAGAGTCCGCTGGCCCCGAGGCTGAGGGGGCTGGGTCTGCACGGGTTCGCGGGCCGAGGGGAGGTTTGCATCCGTCCCCGACGAACGTGCTGCCCTGCAGCTGGCGGCTTGCACCCGCTGCCTCCCCCGCCCAGCGGTGGCGCCCGGACCTCCCACCCCCGGAGTATTGTGCCGCCCGAGATCAAATGCATCTCGTGTGCAGCCTCCCCACACTCACCCCGGGGGGCAATGCCGACCTTTCTCCACCCCCCTCCGCCTCCCCTCCAACCCAGCTCTGCTGAAGACTCCTAGATGGGAGACACTGGAGGCAGTGACACCCCTGTTCCCTGGGCGCATAACGTGTTCATTGTCGAAGGATGTCTCCCCTAGAAAAGCTAACCGCCCCTGCCTCACCCTCCAAGTCTGCCTTCACAATTTAAGATCCCATATGCTCTTCTTTGAAGAGGGCCAATCTCTGATCACATCTAGTTCCTCCCTCCCCCACCACACACACACACACACACACACACACTTCCTGATTGCTGAGCGGCCACTGTCATCGCGATCCATTGTCAGGAATGGCTTGTCCCAATCACAGGAATGTGCTTTTGCCTTGGGAGAAGGGTGCTTGCCACACCATGTTCTCGGGATGTGTCTCCCTGAGCCTGTCTTTGATTGTCCCCCTGCTCAAGCAGCGTTATTACAGTGTTTCCCTTCTGTGCGTCTCCAGGGGACCCTCAGTAATAGCCTGAGTGATGCTTTTGCCCGGTTATTTAGACACCTATGGTGTAGGGGAAATTTCTTCTTCTTTGGCTGTCATGTTTAACATCTATCCTCAAGGAGTAGTAAATAAGGCAATATTTTGGGAAGATGGTGTGGGCTCACCCCCAGATGGTCAGGCCGGTATTGTTCTGGAAATGGCCACAAGCACACACATGCTTTGTTGACAACATGTGTGTGCCTAGGGAGTGCAGAGCTGCTGTGGCTGGCATGTGTGTGTGTGTGTGCAGAATGCAGGTGATGTTCCCATGTGAAGCTGCGTGGAGAGTGGCGAGCTGCCCTGTGATCCCGGGAGCCGGCAGGCAAAGCTTGGTTGTTGGCATGAGGACTGTGCACATGTGTTTAGCTAGAGCCAGCCGTTCTCAACCTGTGGGTCGCGACCCCTTTGGCGGTCGAACGACCCTTTCACAGGGTTTGCCTAAGACCGTCCTGCATATCAGATATTTACATGACGATTCATAACAGTAGCAACATTACAGTGATGAAGTAGCAACGAAAATAATTTTATGGTTGGGTCACAACATGAAGAACTGTATTTAAAGGGCCAGAAGGTGGAGAACCACTGGTAGACGCTGCCGTTGGTATAATTTTGTTTACAATGTTCACTGCTGAGTTTCAGTGTATCTGGAAATGCCTACTTGAGGGGTTCTTAACCTTTCTTTGAGGTCACTGAAGCCTTTTTGGGTGCTCTTGGTGAAATAGACATGGTTTTGTGTGTAATTACAGTCATCTTGAAGCTGGTTTGGGGACCTCAGGATAAGATCTATATTATGAAAAAGTGAAAGGAACTTAAGTTTTGCGTGGGGTGGAGGGGATTTGTTTTTGTTTTTCTTAAGGCTTGACATGACTTTGCTCCTAAGCAATAAGCAACAAAACAGATTGTACATGTGTTCTTCCTTGTGTTTTGTTATTTTTATTGCCGTGAGTTAGATATTTGTAAGGTAGCATTTCCCTGTCTTCCTATAAAAAGCATGTATGTGAGAGTTTCACAAAGTTAAAACAGGAGTCAGAATAATTTGTCTACATTTGACCACTTGGTAATGTATGTTCCTTGCACTGAATTCTAATTTCAGCCGCAAAGTCAGTGGTCTGTTTTATGATGCCTGTCCAGAACCTTTATTTGTTGGTTGAGGTTGACCTGATCTCTTACAAGACTTTATCGTTCCCCTAGTAGAGCACCTGCTCCATGAGGAAGATTTTTTTCAACTTTATTAAATATTATTGCATATCTTTATTCCAGGTGACAAGTTGCCATCAAAAGCATCCATTTTTAAATTTTGTTATAATGGAAGGATTTTAATTGTAGTTAGGGAGTTTAGGCTCCATGTTTTAAAATCTAGAACCGGGGATGAACATTGCACCAGCCTGTCAATAAGTAGGGGGCAGCCGTCAGCTAGTCTTTAAATCATTCTGCATTTTGATCATATTTCATTCCAGCTTCGCGAAAGTGTCGTGATGGGCAGTGACATTAAAGAAGCACAGTCTCCAGCTCTCCAGGAGCTTCCAATTCTGACAATATTTTCCACTTAAAGAATCCTTTGAGACCTTAAATTTTTTTGCATTTTGGGGGTTTGAGAGGCTAGGGCAGTGGTCGGCAAACTCATTAGTCAACAGAGCCAACTATCAACAGCACAACGATTGAAATTTCTTTTGAGAGCCAATTTTTTTTTTTTTTGAGAGCCAAATTTTTTAAACTAGATAGGTAGGTACATTGTTATTAACTTAATTAGGGTACTCCTAAGGCTTAGGAAGAGCCACACTCAAGGGGCCAAAGAGCCGCATGTGGCTCGCGAGCCGCAGTTTGCCAACCACGGGGCTAGGGAATTCATTGTCTTAACAGCTTTGGGGAAGGCAAGGGAGCCTTGGAATCTTGCATAGAATCTGTTCCACATAGCTGAAGAGTAGCATTTATTCTAATAAATTATGTAGTGTACCCTAAGAAGTTTGGAAGAATGCTGAGATTGCAAATATCACATTTTTTATTGTCTAATAAACATGCTTGAAGTGGTTTATATTACAGGTTATGTTTTTTGTTCGTGTCATGCCTGAAATTTTACTGTCGGAAATTATTTGCCTGTCCTGAACCCAAACCATTTCAAAGTTGCAAATATTAGTATGTCACTTTGCTTTGTCAGCATAGTATAGTGACAGATCATTAAGATCTTGGGACAGGGTGCTTCCCTTGGTTTTTAATATTGCAGAACCTCTTCTGACCAGTCGCTTACCTAGTTAAACACCCACATACCACAGAGCAGCTGATCATATAGCACATGCGGCTGTGAGAACAGCACGCTCTCTGCCAGATTCAGGGCTTGGAAGCTGGAAAACAATTGCATGGCAGTGAAACACCAGGAGTAGTGGTGCCAGCAGCTCCCTCGTTAATGCAAACAGCCCGCTGTAGTTTCTTCAACACTCTTCTTCGACACCCTTCCCGTAGGAGGTTTCAGATCAGCAGCCCCTACTCGAGGGAGACAGCACCTACTGTCTGCAACTGTGGCCTCAAGATCTGATGCGTGACGCCCAGAGCTGTTTCCATTTCTGCTCTCAGTATGGGAAGCCACCTTGTAGTGTGGTAAGAAAATACTTTTCAAGTCTGTAGAGAAAAAGTTGATTAGTAATGCTCCTGATGTGATTTTGTCCTTGCTTGTCTGAAGCCTATTGAAGTGAATTGTAAAAACAAACTGTTTTTAAAAAAGCCCTTTTCTAAAGGGTTTTAGATAATTTGACCAGAAATACTCTCGAGTTTCATTTCCCTTGTTCTAAAAAGTCAGTTGAGAGACAGCCAACAGCACAGTTTGCAAGGCCTGTGGATTCTCTTGCATTTTGAACCGTAGCCTTTGGAGCTAGTTATCCTCAAGGAGGTGACTGCATTTCCTTGCTGGGAACTCTTGGGTCTTGTGCTTCGGTTTGATATTTTTCTCAGCTGTTTGCCCTCGTGTCCAGCAGTTAGCACGTGAATCTACTCTGATAGAGGTGCCCTGGTTCTGCAGTGAGTGACTCCAGCAGCTAGGCTCTAGCTGCTGCTGGAGGGGGAGCAGGGAGCTGCTTCTTTGGAGCCGGGCAGGACTGGGTTTGAGTCCCGGCTCCACCACTTACTGGCTTCATGGCCTTGGGCAAGTCACCCTGACCTCGCTGGTCTCAGTTTCCTCGTCAGCGGATTGGAATTTGCTGTGAGGACTGGAGATAATACATGAAACCTCTAGCACGGTTCCTAGCGCTAGTATTGAGGGAGTATTAAGGACTCAGTAAATGGTAAGGCACCGTTGGTGTGGAGTGTAACTACAGATTGTTTTGGCTTCCAAGATGTAGAAGTCTGGTGCTGCAATCTGCATACTTTCATCTGTGCAGATTTGGGATGAAAAGTTGCAAATATTTGTCTTGGAGCGTACCTCAGTCTTGCAGGTGCAGCGTGCTTATTGGAACTTTGATATGTTGCTGTATGGCTGGCTGAACTTGGTAGACAATAAAACTTGGCTCCTAGTTCTAGTGTTCCCCACAGGCTGTGCTTGTTTTAAGCCTATTCAAGTTTATACGGTAAAAGGGGTGTTTTAAGACATTAATGTATCTCAATGAGTTCTGTGTCCACAGTTGAATCATGTGCAAAGCCTCGTGTACATTTTCATGGTTAATGAAAGCCACAGAGTGCTTGCTAGAATCAGTGACGACATCAGATGCTTTTTCAGTTAATCTGTTTATTTATATAGCAGGTATCTTTGATTTTTACAAACATTTAGGAACATTTTCTCTTAAAGATTCCTCTTGCTCTTCCGAGGTTCAGTTATAAACTGTTATTAGAGCTAGCTAGAGGTTTGAGTGCCTTCGGCATTTTTGCTTTGGTGGGAGAAGGAAACAAAGGTAAGGTTCCTTTACCTATCTGATTTGACCAACTCTCCACTTCAGGCCTATTCCTACAGATTGTGTGTAGTTCCCAGCCTTGTTTTTAACCAAAAAGGGAGTTTTATGGTAAACTATGACTTTTTTAAAAACAATTTAAGAGATTGATTACTTTGAAAAGTAGATTCAAGGGCATGATTAGAGTTTTATTCAGTGCATAGAGCTTTTAAAATAGGATTTCTTAGTCTGTCACTTTTGCAGGATATTATTGTGATAAGTCTGTGAGCCCACGAGTTACCTAGAGACTTTTCACATAAGGTAGACACATCAGGATTACCTCAAGGGAATCTGCTAATCTTTATTTTCATTTATTTTTGAGCCAGCTCTAGGGGCTTGCCCATCAGTGGAATCAGTCACTGGTATTGGATTGATGATAAAGACGGATTGGTAAACAATGATCTTAGCCTCGCTCACCTTGATTTTGCAGGACACTTGAAAAAACTTAATCTTGGCCAGAATGTTTAATAATAGCACTTATGCTATGTGAACCCAGACTGACTAAACAAATACAATTTAGATGATTGAGTTATGTATCTTTTTCTCAATTATAATACCTTTTTTTTTTTTTAGTTAATCCTTACCTGAAGATATTTTTCCATTGATTTTTAGAGAGTGTAGAAGTGAGGAGGAGAGACACAAAGAACTATCGATGTAAGAGAGACACATCAATTGGTGTCTCCCTCACGCATCTGACCAGGACCTGGGATTGAGCCTGCAATTGAGGTACATGCCCTTGACTGGAATCGAACCCCGGACCCTTCAGTCTGTGGGTGGACGCGCTATCCACTGAGCCAAACCAGCTAGGGCTATACTATATATATATATATATATATATATATATATATATATATATATTTATTTATATATATTTTTTTAAAATATATTTTATTGATTTTTTACAGAGAGGAAGGGAGAGAGCTAGAAACATCGATGAGAGAGAAACATCGATCAGCTGCCTCCTGCACATCTCCTACTGGGGATGTGCCCGCAACCCAGGTACATGCCCTTGACCGGAATCGAACCCGGGACCTTTCAGTCCGCAGGCCAACGCTCTATCCACTGAGCCAAACCGGTTTTGGCAGGGCTATACTATATTTTTTAAGTAAACTTTTTCTTGGGAAGGAGGGGTGCTATTTTTTTAACTATTGTTTTTTCTGGTTTACCTAGAGTAAAATGGCCTAGTAGATAACAAGATGCTTCTGTCAGTTTCTAGATAAACCAGTCAGTGTGTGGTGAGAAGGGATTGTTGGAAGAGAACAAATAGGAATGATGCAAAGAATGACTGTAGCTGAATTTTTTGCTCTTTACTATGCATGTGGCATCAGAGGGTTATGACTCTTACTTGGATTTCACAGAGTATCAGCATTGGGTAGCTCCGTTTGTCTTTAATGCTAGGGAAGAATATAGTCTTTATTATATTTATACTTTTCAGCTTTAAATATTTTATTCAATTTGGGGGATTCAATGGGACATAACTTCTAATTAATCAATGGGACATAACTTCTTAAGTCACTCTGTTACTTATAAAATGAGATTTATAACTAGACCCTTATGAATTGTTTTCACCCTTTTGAATGTGTCATTTTAATATATCTAGAGTAATATCAGTGGCCTGTGAACATTGAAACACATAGTAAAGTGTGTTTGTTTGAGGAGGTGGCAAGTAGAGTGTTGGTGATCTCAATTATATGGACAAATCTGTATTCTTTTCAGTTCCTCTTAAGACTGTAACCCCGATGCCCAGGGACTTTCCTGTATTCATGTACTATTAGAGAGCCTTACAATTTTCTCTTCCTTTCTTCTTTCCTTCCTTCCCTCCTTCCTTCCTTTTTTTTTCTTTTCTTCCTTCCTTTGTTCCTTCCTTCCTTTGCATGTAAAATCAGTTAAATTAACTCAGCAAAAGTTTAGAAAAAACTAAATGCCCATCAGTGTAGAATTGGTTAAATAAATTAGGGTATAGTCATGAAATAGAACAGGTTTTATATAGCTGCAAAAAGAATGAAGAAACTGTATATTGCTGTGGAAATCTTTAAGCTGTATTGTTAATGAAAATAACAAGGCATATAACGTGCATAGAATGTGTTACTGATTGTAAAAAAGTTGGGTGGGGATTTCCCTACATATTACAGAATAACTCTAAGAAACAAATAATCTGTTTATCAGAAACTTGTATTGGTTGTCAGTTGGAAGAGTGAACTGGATGACTGAGGCAACTGGGTTGGAGGGAGATGCTTCGCTGTATTTTTTTTTAAGTAAAATTTTAATTAAAGTAGACAGTAACATAGAAAAGTAGGGAATTCATAGGTATACACAGAAGAATCATAGAATCTTCTGTATAGTCAGCAGATTACATAGGTTATTTATAGAACCAGAAGCAGCCTCTCCTATCCCTCCCAGTGACTGCTCTCCCAAAGGTTGCCCCTATTCTGAGTTCTATCATCATAGGTTAGTTTTGCTTGTTTTTGTTGTTTTTGAGCTTCTTATAAGTGGAATACAATATGGACTCATTTGTACTATGTACTGAAGGAAGGAAATGAGAATCGCCTACCCATATTGTATATAACAATAGTTTATTCTCATGTAATACTCCATTATATGCTAGCTATAATAATAAAAGGGTAATATGCTAATTAGACCAGACATCCTTCTGGATGAAGGGGGGGAGGGAGGGAAGCGCTGAGCCCCTTGCACGAATTTCATGCATCGGGCCTCTAGTATATTATCATTTATTTGTTCATACTACCATTGATGAACATTCAGGTTGTTTCTGGTTTTGGCTAGCATGAGTAATGATGCTCAATTTACTACATGTTCTTCTGTTCTTAAGACTTTTGATTCATGCGAATGTATACCTATTAAATATATATGTATATATTTTTAATCCTCACCTGAGGATATTTTTTCCATTGATTTTTTGAGAGTGGAAGTGAGGGGGAGAGACAGAGAGAGAAACATCGATGTGAAAGAGATACATCGATTGGTTTCCTCCTACATGCCCCCAGCTGGTACGTGTCCTTGACCGGGACTCAAACCCAGGACCCTTCAGCTCACAGGCCAGTGCTCTATCCACTGAGTCAAACCAGCTAGGGCTATTTTTTTTTTAAGTGCCCCCTCCCTAGCCAAGTAGCTCAGTCAGTTGGAGCGTCTTCCTCCACACCAAAAAGTTAGTTGTCTGTTCGATTCCTCGTCAGGACACATACCTAGGTTGTGGTTCAATCTCTGTCCAGGCACATGTGGGAGGCAGCCAATCAATGTTTCTCTCTCACATCTATGTTTCTCTCTCTCTCTCCCCTCCCTCCCACTCTCTAAACATCAGTTAACATGTCCTCAGATGAAGATTTTTAAAAAATAAAAGTGTCCCCTAATTGATCCATAGGAAAATTGTAATGTCCTATTTAAAATTAAATATTAAGATACTTAGAGGGGCAAAGTAATTTCAAGCCATTTCTTTTTACATTCTCAAAGACCTGGCTTGTATTTTCACAATATTAAGAGAGTTCCCAAGCCAAACTTGGGAGAAAACTCTGTATTCTTTTATCCTTAAAGGAGTTAAGTATGATGGAAAAATGTCTTAAAAATAATTATAGCTCTTGCAGGATTTGTTTTTGTAACTGCTAAATATTTATTTTACTATCTCATTTCATAATATTGAAATCACAATCCTTTGTGAATTGCTAA